CCAACCCCAACCCCAACCCCAACCCCAACCCCAACCCCAACCCCAACCCCAACCCCAACCCCAACCCCAACCCCAACCCCAACCCCAACCCCAACCCCAACCCCAACCCCAACCCCAACCCCAACCCCAACCCCAACCCCAACCCCAACCCCAACCCCAACCCCAACCCCAACCCCAACCCCAACCCCAACCCCAACCCCAACCCCAACCCCAACCCCAACCCCAACCCCAACCCCAACCCCAACCCCAACCCCCCCATTTTCATTAAGTAAAAAATAAATTATAAATTAAATTTGGAACAATCTAAAGTTTGTTTTAGAATATTTGATAAATTTACAATAGAAATTAAATTAAAAATTTAACAAAACTGTATTTAAATTAACATAATAAGAATATCTTAAATTTATTCTAATTCTTTAAAAACAAAAATTTATTAATTTTAAATATTTTAAATTTCCAAATTAATTTTAAGCAATTCTTAAATTGGCAAAAAAAATAACTATTTTTTAATAAGATAATTTTGATCAATTTCTTAAAATTAAGTTTGATTAAAAGTTAAAAAAGTTTAATTTATTATTAGTAGAACAAAAAAAATATCTTACAAAAAAGTTCAAATTATTTTAATGCAAAAATAGTTTTAAGTAAAAATTTACTTTTCAGGTTGCTAAATAAAGAGAATATTAAAAATTACAAACAACAAAATGAATAAACACTTAGTTATGTTTTATTTAAGTATCTTACATAATTAATTTATTTAAATTTATATATTTTTATTTAGCTTTGTTTAGTTTGCATTTTAATAGTGATTAAATTAATTAAAAAATTAATTTAAAAATTATATTAAGTATTTGAGATTTTTATAAAGTAAATTAGAGCTATTTTTCAGATGAATTCTGGATTTTCATCGAAAAATTTATACATGATAGCAACAACAGCAAGAGAAGAGATACTCAGTATGTATACTAACTAAAAGTTTATCATTCCATTCTGTTTGTTTTTAAATAAAAATAAAATTTTAACTTAAAATCTAACTACAAAGAAATAAATAAATAATATTTGATTTTTACCTATAACGAAACTAAAATGAATGAATGCATTAAAAGATTCGAGATTGCAAATCCTATTAAAATTAATCCAAATATTTGGTTGGTCAATCTATGTAAGTTTTTTATTTTTAAAAAATGATTTATTTAATTTTGTATTGCTATTAATTTTACTTATATCCAAACACCTTAGGTATGAATTTACTAAACCAACTAAATACTCCTCCTTAGACAAAAATCAAAGAAAAAATAGATATATCATAAACTATCAAGTTACTACCAAAATATTAGAAAATCAGGATGAGTGCTGCCTATTTGATTATTAATTAAAATATACCTTTAATTATAATTTTTGGTGAGGAATAAAATAATTAATTACTTATGTAAATAAAATTAGGTAGAAGCTTTTCTTGAATTCTAAAATACTAATTAATTTTGTCCAAAGATACCTAGAGCATCCAAAAAAGGTGAATGAAACGCATCCCAAAAGAGTTTAGTATTAATCATTGTTATAGTGGATAAGACCATAGGTTTTATAATAGGCCATTGCGAAATACCCGAAAACTATATATATAAATAAAAACATCTCCTCAATAAAAAAATTAATTTATAATTAATTTGTTTATACATGATGAAGCAATAGCGAAAAATAATAATTAGAAGAACTGTTTTGATTTTATGCCATCCTTTAGAGTTGGACATACTTATTGAGGACTCATTCTTTTTTATTTTTCTCTTGTCCTTGGAGATTGCTAAATACTTTTTTGCTTGACCATTTCATATTGTTAATATGATAAAAGCAAGGCATCTATTTATATTTAAAAGTTATATTTTATAATGCATTAAATAAATCTATTTTCTAATTTTTAAAGTTATTGTTAAGTAACTTAAATATAACAAAAATAAACTTAAATTTGAGTTATACTAATTCACTAACTAAGGTCGATTGCTATTTATTGCTTTTATTTATATAAATAACTAATTCAATCTATTAAATAATTTACCATTATAATTTCTTAAAAATATTATTGAGAACAAGCCTAGAATAGCAAATGCAATACTGAAAAAACGCAGCATAGTAGGAATATTATATGAAACACATTCTTCAAAATAAACTCTATTTTCACCATTTTCATATTCAGTACGTTTAGGATAATCATTATAGTAATTAACTATTAAATAAGAAAAGAAACCAAACAATGCAGATCCCACTCCATAACCTGCTTAGAGAATAGCGTTCACTTCTCCAGACTTTAAGGGAAAGAATTTCCATGAACATGAAAAAGGTACTAAATATAAGATGCCATATAGAGGTCCAACTACAAGAACATATATGGCCAAAATAAGATAATAGTTTGTAATAAAAGAAAGAACGAAGAATGTTGCACTAAGTAAAAATACTCCATAGAAAACTACGCTTTTTAAACCAGATTTAGCTACTATTTTTTCTCCAAAAGGAATTACTGTTTTTAAAAATAAAATATTTTTTGATCATCTAATTTATCATTTTACAAAGGCTATTTATTAAAAAAATTTATTACAAGAGTTCATAGTTATATTCATCAAAGGAAAAATAATTGCTACAGAGTCGCTAGTAACATTGTGGTCTATTGCTTTTAAGTAACTTGACAAGTAAATTGAATATGCTCCCCATGAATAAAAAGAGCCTAAGATCTTTATAAAAATGCATTATTTAATAAAATTTCTGTAAATTTTATGATCAATAAGTTTGAATCATGGATTTAGAATGCTATCCTTCAAGAAAAATGCATAAACGCAATTTCCCGAAAATAATTTAATACTTAATCCTATTGATTCATATTTTATTATTGTAATTGTGCTTTTGAAAATAATAGCAAAATAAATTTAATTAATTAATTACAAAGTTGATACTAATGCCTCCTATGAGTACCTTCCAACTATCATTTCTAATTTATTTAATTTCTTCTGGAGTTATTTTTCTACTCCTATTCATCTTGCTTGCTTCTTTAAATGTTAAATTTCGAATAATTATTTTGTTTTTGCTATCAAAATAGAATCTAAATATTAAAAATTTTATTCTTTCAAATCTTCTCCTATTTATTCTTAAAAATAATGAACACTTTCTTTTAACTTTTCAACGTTTATTTTATAATGTTAAAGAACGATTTCTATTCGAATTATATATAAAGAATAAACAAATTATACAATAATAGCAACAGTAATATTTAAAATTTTAACAATCTATTAAAAGTTTTTAATCAGAATGTTTAAAAAAAATTAATTTTTTTTTTTTACATATAAAAATAATTGACTAATACAAAATAAATTCTATTAATCTAATTTAATTTTCTTTTAAAAATCAAAATTTTAATTAATTTTAAAGCTAAAACCTTTAATTAAAGTTCAAAATCATTTTTTTATTAAATGCTTTTGTAATTTAACAAAAACACTCTTTAAATAAACAAATTAAAACTAATTCATAAAATTAAATTATTATAAAAAATATATCAAATTAATTCTTAATTTATTAAAACAAAAATAAGAAATAAAAATCAAATAGAAAACTACAATAAAATTTGTTACTTCAAAACAAAATTCTAATTAAATTAGCAACTAAAATAATTTATTTAATTAAATTATTTGACTTAAAATTTATAAATACAATTTTTACTTTTTTATACAAAGTACCAAATTAATTAACTTGTAAATATTTAATTAATAAATTTTATAATTCAATATATTTTGATTTTATATAATTTATTTGATTGTTAAATTATATTAATATATGTTTAGTTGATTTACGAATTGCAAGTTCAAATATTAAATTGAACCAAGAATTAAAAAAATGATAACAAAAATGTTATCAAGTAAAAATAATATATTTATTAATTGCTCATAGATTTTATTTATTTACATTTTAATAAAATTGATATTATTTAATCAATTAAAAAATAAATATCATTATTTTTTCAATAAAAATTAGAATACTTTTTAAGTATGTATCCTAATTTTTTATTTTAATAACTGCTTGTTAATAATAAAAAAAATAACAAATAATACATCTTGGCTTTTAAGGTTGTTTTATCTAGATTAAAAATAGCAGTCTTAAGCAAGTTTTTTGATAATTTTGCTTAAAGAAAGACTGTCAATCCTTTATAGTATTTTTTTGGTGATATCAATTAAAAATATTTAGATTAATAATTTCCCACAAAACGTAATTTGAAGTATATTCAGATGTAAAAATAAGCCAAACACAGAATTCCGAAGCTGAAAAAAAATCTAAATTTAATTAAGTTATTACTACTGAAAACTTATCATTAAGATATTTACTTTAAATAAATAAGGTATTTGCTTAATTGAAACGCTATTTTAATAAGATAAGTATATTTTTTAATAATATTTAGAAATAACTAAAAATCAAAATAGTAACTAATTATATGAATATGAAAATAAATAATATTTTTATAGTTTTTTGCGTAGTCATATTTGCGGTAGCTGCAAGTGTAGAATTTGAAAAACAAGATTCTATACATAAGCTCATTAGGCAAACATACTCTAACCTTTAAAGAGAGCAGGCTAAGCATGATCAAGAATTCAAAAAATTTCCCACTTAGTTTGCTAAGCAAAAAGGATTATACTCCTCTGACATTAAACTGAATTTCATGGACTCTTCTAATAGCTTTTTTGCTCATCTCTTGAGAGAATTATTCAGTGTCTATGATAATAACATGTTTGTCACTAATTTTGTAATTCTTGGATTGCTTGAAGCCTCCGATTTAGGTCAAGTTTAACTTGATAATAAATCTTTAGAAGAAGCTTTGGATGCTTTACTCACATTTAAGGATAAAAACTAGAAGAATAACACAACACCTGTTTATAATTTCTGGCAACAGATTAATGTTAATGGTACATGGTAAAGCTATCCTGTTAATCTCGAAAATGTAGTTGATATCTATAATTCTTTACCACCATTTATTTAAAAGCTTTCATCCTTGTTTGGTATAAGCCCTGAGGAATTAAAGCAAATGGTATCTTCCTTTGTTATACCTCCTGATAATGACGACTCAGGTATCAACATCGCATTAGGTTCTTTCTTACGTTCTCACAAAGAAAAATTCCCTTCTTTATACTCTAAGTGGGAGAGCTAAAATAACGACTACGAGGGGTTTTATTCTATTGTTAAGAAGTATGCTTATAGACCTCTGACCTAACAGTTCTAATCAAACTTTAGTACTAATGCATCTGATATAATTGATCCTCGTACTTACTATTACTTACATGAATTTATTTAAAAAAATTCAGAATATCCTATCTCTTTATTTTCTACCTGGTTGATTAACCAAAATGATGAAAAGTAAAATGTTGTGAAATAGCCATTCCACACAAATAATGTAGATTTGACTGTGAATGCAAATAGCTTGTTTGGCTTAAACAGTTTGCTAACTACATTATCTTAAGAAGAAGCTGAAAATCTTTTTTCTAAAGATTTAGACTTGAAAGGCCTTCATAGAAATGTTACTAACTTATTGGCTTATGGCATAGAGAGTGGAATTGTACTTTCTCGTCCTGATCTCGCACTTACCTATTATCCTTCAGAATATGATTTTTACTGGTTTGTAGCAAGGAATGTTCATTTATTAAGAACAGCTAAGCAAAATAGTAAGCTGCATTTTGAAGAGTTAGAATATTGCTTATCTACTCTAGAGGATTCATTACTCAATTTTGGTATTTAACAGCTTATTGGCTAATCATAAACTGACGATAACGGTAATGTTTTTTGGGAAGGATTCTTGGGTAACTATGCAAATAAATCCTATCACGAAGACAGACTTTTTTCAACTGCTGTCACTTTGAACACTCTTTTAGATGCTTACACTTTCACTTCAAGTGATTTAACGAAGAGAGTTTATATTTTAAATACTCCAGAACAAGTAAAGAAAATCATTTAAAAAACTGTTGATTTTATTCTATCTGTTTCTGAAAATTATAAAACACCAAAAATGAACACCTTCTTTTCAGGTAGTGTAAAAGGATTTTAATCTTTGCCATTCTTCTACCCATCTAACTACGGACTATATTTAAATAACGGAACTTATATTAATCCTTCAACAGCTCAAATGAGTAACATAAGTGATGATTTAGTAGTTGCTTTCAAAGGTACTGTCTCAGAATAGGAGTATGAATAGTATTTAAATCAAAAATGGTTTAGTATGCCAACACCTCAAAATTTCACTGGTTTTAATGAGCCTTAAAATGCTTTCCCTTTCTGGTCATCTAAATCAATAACAGATGTTTTTATAGTTCAAGCTTTATCTAAATATCAAACTCTTATATGATTTTATTTAAATATCAATTTCCCTTACATATTTATAATGAATGAAATAATTAAAAAATTACATATTTTTGAAATTTTTGTTTAAGTAATTTATCAAGCCAAAATATTTTTAAACTGATATTACATAGATAATTCAAATAATTTGATTTTGATTTGTTTATTTGTTTTACAAATCTAATAAAAATGATTTATTTAATTTTGATATGATTGGAATTCATAAGAAATAGTTCAATTATTAAAATTTATATTTACTTTTTTATAGTTTCAATAATCTAAAAAGTAAGAGTTAATAGTGTTTTTATTATAATATTTTAAATTAGATCGTTTATAGATAGATGTAGACTTTGTTTTATATTTTTAAATAATAATTTAATTAATTTTTAAACGCTTCATACAGATGATTTAATTTTTTGAATATAATTAAACCAGTACTTAATGTTTGGTATAAAATTTATCTTTTTTTTTTAAGATGGAAAAAAATCTAATAGCTAATTGATATAATGTATTAAAAAAATATATAAAAGTTAATTTAAAATAAATTTTTTCTTGAGCATATTTTAAGATTTTGTAAAATTTGATATATAAATTTTATATAGGCGATCTAATTTTATTTTGAAAATATTAAAAAAAAAAGATAACTAATTTGCTTTGGTTTTTTATTAAATATTTGTTGTCAATCGATGAATCAAATTAGCAATAACTAAATAACCAAGGAAGCAGAAAAATTTGATTTTTAACTATTTTGAATATTTAAAAAATTTAAGAATTTCTTATTGGTAATTAATATGAAAATTTTATGTTATATTAAATGTATTGGTTAAAGTAAATTTCATTTTAAAATTTGATATAGTCTTTCAATTTGTTAATATAATTAGTATGGTATATTTTGCTTTGATAATATTTTTATTATTTTTATTGCAATTAGAAATATTAGTAAAATTGTATATATGTACTTGATAGACAATTGAGTTGTGCTGCTGCTATGCTTATTTAGCTAGCATTTTTATCAAAAGATGATTAAAGCAGCTAAATAATAATTGAGAAAACAAAAGTGGAAGAAGAATGAAAAATGAAATAAATATAGAGAGTGTTAATCAATGAAGATATATATAATACACGAACAAGTTAGATGGATAGATAGAGTAGGGCAAGAAAAAAGTTAAATAAAAAAACTAATTTTTTGATTTTACAAAGGATGAAGAAAAACTCAAATAATATACAAAAATTAACAAATAAGCAAGCATGCAAGATAACAAACAAATAATCTAATAACTAACTAACTAACAAATAAATAAACAAATAAGCAGGCACATTATCAAACAAATAAACATACATACAAGCAATAAAGCAAGCGAGCAAAAAGGAAAGCAAAAACAAAAAGAAGAAATAATTAATTAATTAATAAATTAGTTAATACATAAGAACAAGCATCTCAACTAGAGAAGAAAAAATTTAATTAAATTCTGAAAGAAAAGAAAAATAATTAACAATAATTGAAAAAAAAATAATAATAAAATTATTAACAATAAATATAATAAGAATAATATATAGGAACAAAAAAACCTGCCATCTGGCTAGTGATAAAATAAAAAGATAAACGCATAAATGGATATTAAAGTAGGTAAATCATTTAAGCTAACAAGAAAGCTTGGATCAGGAGCTTTTGGTGAAATTTTCCACGGAGTCAACCTAAAGAACAACGTGGAAGTTGCCATTAAGTTAGAACCTGTCAACACCAAGCATCCCTAGCTCTTCTACGAAGTCAAGCTATATTAATATTTGCTATAAGATGAAACTATCATCGATAAGGGCATTCCTTAAGTAAGAATATTTTCTCATATAATTATCAATAGCCCAAATGTTTTGAAAACTGCAAATTTTATTTCTACAAACCAAGTTCGAATATTTTTGAGCTATAAATAGCATGCTAGCTACAATAATTTTTTTTAATAAACTCTTTTTCTATCCTTCTGTCAATTTTTAAATTATGACATTATTTTTGAATTTTATTCAACTCTTTCATAAATTGGTTATTTTGAAATTCACCTACGTATTCCATGCTCCAACTAATCTCAAACTTACAGCTAATTATTTTGAATGCTGCAACTTCTCATTTTATAAGAATGAATGACGGGAATTTGTAGTTATAAAATGCAAGCAGCAAAATTGATTTTAATATAAACAAAATTGGTGGGTAAAATCAAGGAAATAGAAAATCAGTAAGCCAAATATTAGAAAAAGATGCTTCTGCATTAATTGAGCATGCATTCAGAGGAATAATAAGTTAAAATAGGTTGTATCCTTTTTGAGAATAAAAAGCTCAAGAATCATAAAAATAATATGTTTTTTAGTGCTTTTACACAACCTCCGTTTTCTTATTGTCTAACGAAATAAAAACCTGCCTATCGTGCTAGCTAATTTAGTGCTGTCAAGAGTTATTTTTGAAAAATATTAAATAAAAAAGACTAGCCACACAGAAGCACTTTAGCTAAATTTTCAAAAAGAGAATATTTTTTACTTAATTATTGAAAAAGTAACATGCAACAAAGACTAGCAGCAATTAAAATGAATCTCATTTCATTCTTTTTTGACACATTTATCTTTCTTTCTTTCTTTTTTACTTTTTCTTGCAGCGACTAATTTTCAAAACTTAAAAAATACAAAGTTATAAAATCAAATTCTATAAGAAGGATTAGAGATTAGTTTATTTTAGTAAGGATAGTAAAAAAATATATAAGCAATAAATGAGATATACCTTTATCTTATCAGCAAATTTTCTATTTCTAAAAAGAAATCATAATAGCAGTAGTAGAAGCCAACATTTTAAATTTCACAGCATGCCTTAACTAAATTTTTTTCAACCAATTTTTATGTTACAAAAACATAATAAATGAATTTTATAAAATCTATTTCTAAATTTAACATTTCATATTTTATTTAAATAGGTTTACTATTGTTCCACAGAAGGAGAATACAACATCATGGTTATGGATCTCTTAGGTCCCTCTTTGGAAGATCTCTTCAACTTTTGTAACAGAAGATTCTCATTAAAAACCGTTCTCATGCTTGCTGAATAAATGCTATAAAGAATCGAATACGTTCACCACCGTCACTTCTTGCATAGAGATATTAAACCAGATAATTTCTTGATTGGTTCTGGCAAGCGTTCAAATAAAGTTTTCATCATCGACTTCGGTTTAGCTAAGCGTTACTTACAAAGAGATGGTACTCATATTCCATATAGGGATAATAAGAATTTGACTGGTACAGCTCGTTATGCATCTATCAACACTCACTTAGGTATTGAATAAGGTAGAAGAGATGATTTGGAATCTCTAGGTTACGTTTTAATGTACTTCTTAAGAGGCTCTCTCCCATGGTAAAACCTAAAAGCAAACAATAAGAAGGACAAGTATGAGCGCATTATGGAAAAGAAACTCTCTACTCCTGTAGAAGTACTCTGCAAGTCTTTCCCTGATGAATTCGTAAAATATTTAGCTTATTGTAGAAATCTTCGTTTTGACGAAAAGCCTGATTACAACTACTGCTAGTCTCTCTTCAAGGAACGTTTCTAAAAGGAAGGATACGAAAAGGATTCCAATTTCGATTGGAATAAAATTGCAAAAGAAAGAAAGAGCGAATAGGGTAACAACCCCAATCCAAATGCTAACAATAATATTCCCGATGATTAGTAAAAAGTACAAGTAAGGAAAAGCTTTTTTTTTATTAAGACAGTGATTAAATATCTCATTTTAACAATTAAAATAACAAAATAAATTCAGCCAACAATTATAAATTCAAAAATTTAAAAAATCACAAATAATAATTAATATTTAGCTTAAATCCTCCAAGATATATAAGTTTTTAGCATTTTTTTTCCAATAATTAACTCAAAAAACAGAAAAATATGTAAAAGACTTTGAAATTTTGAAGTAGTTTTATGCATAAAATAAATGATAGATAGAAATTAAATTATAAATTGTAAAACTGAGATGAATTATGACCCAATAAATTTACTATTTCGAATACTTCCAATATTGTGAAGTATAGAATAGACAGATTAAATTTTTAATTTCTTTTATCCTTTCTAATTATTTATTTAAGGAGTTTAAATCAAACTCAACTCTCCCCTCCCTCCTTCCCTCCTTCATCTATCAATTTATAATAATAAATTCTTTATTTAATTATTTCCCCAGCTTATAGCCAATTAATTTATTAGAGTCATGTTTCCGCTAAAACAAAAATTATTCACAATAGAATTGAAAATTAATTCTTTCTCCATTTTAAATCTGAATTTGTTATCTGTTTAATTTGCTCCAATTTGTCTATCTCTTTAAATGAAGATTTCTATTTTTTATTACTTTTGAAGTAAGAACAAAGAAATACTTTTATAAAGTCAACTATTTTGACAACAATAATCCTGAGAAATTCAAAAAAAGAATCAAACTTTTATTAAAATATTTTTTAATTGAAAAAATGAGAAAAAATTTAAATATGCTGATGAATAAATGAATATTAAACAAATTTATTAACAAATAGAAATTCTTCAACCTTTGAGAGGATCATGAGAGAGTCCAACTTTGGAAACAATGAGCTAGTCAGTCTGTCTATCTACGACTCAAAAGTGAATGTTTTCAAAGCAATAACAACTAATTGAAGCCATCGATATATCAATCAATATAAATACATACATATATTTTTCTTAATAAACCTGATAATAATCACCTATATACTAGCGTAATAACATTTTCTTCATACTAATTTGATATATATAATTATCTTGATCATAAGTAAGATAGCCACGAAAATAAATTTGAATTTAATAAATCAAATTAAAGCTATGTTATAAATTTATAAAATAAATATTTTAGTATTATTGTTCTACCCTTGTTAAGTTGTAATAAATAAATAATACTTCCACTAACTAACTTACTTACTTACTTAAAATATTATTTACTCAAATAAATCAATACTTATTTTAATTCTTCATTCTTAAACTTAACAGTTAGAAATAGATCTGTTGTAAGATGAGTAAAATAAAAATAAATCTCGAAGAAATCTAAAAATACTACCTCATACCAAAATTAAAAAAAAACACTCTTATTAAGAAAGTTTGTGTCTCTAAATCATACCAGATCAATAAATCCTTCATTTATTCATACATGCACTGCACCTTGATAAGCATGCTGGAATTTTTATATAATTAATATCTTAGGGAAGTATTTTAATTTACTTATAGTTATAATCAACATTTTAAACTCCAATTCTATCTATAAATCAACCAAAAAACTAAAAAAATAAATAAATAAACGATATTACAATAATTGCTATTTGCTCTTGGATATAAAGCCTAACAAAAAAACAATTAATGAATAAATCATCAAACAAACAACAACAACAACAATAACAATAACTTCATTTATACATTAGATATTGGCTGATAATTAAAATACAATAAAATAATAATATCTCTTGACTTTATTATATATATCTATCTGCAAATCTTATATATGGGATCTTTTCTGAAGATAAAAGATATTCTTTACATCTATCTAATTATCTTATTACCATTAATTTGTCAAAAAAGATTATTGGTATGCTTTTAAACCATTATATCTCTATCTTATACTTACAGTATCGACTTCTTCCATTATTCATCTTATTTCTCGAAATAATTATGTTTGTGGTTTATAAATTAGATTCAAAAGCTCATAGAAATATAAATAAACATCTAATCAAATTCTTTTTAAAAACTGAATATATGATATCTGATGTTGTTTAAAGCCAATACAAAATTTAGTATAAACAAAAAATGGCACAATTATCAAACATATCTTTATAATAAATGACACACACTCATATACTTTTAAAAATTCGCCAATCAATTAAAAAAGCAAACAATCTAACTAACATCCCACCAATCCGATTCATTCATTCATTCATCCATTCATCCATCCACACATAAATACATACATTTATCCATCAATCCGTCTGTCTTAAAATTTATTCTCATTGCATATTTGGAGTCTAATTCTTAGTTGTTTATAACATATATATATCAATCCATCTATATTACAATCTATATTACATATGTATACACCACATCTATCATTTATCAATTCTTACATTCTTATTTCTTCTTTTTTTTAATGAAAATTTGTTAGTAAAAAATAAATAAATAAAATTTTTGATAAAGTCTTCAAAAAATAAAAACAATTTAATTCTAGCACTAATCTCAACTATTTTAAAAATACATGAGCAATTTATTATTATTTTTGGTATAATATACTAAGAAATTATTAACTCATTATAATGCATACTCAATAATTTGCTTAACAAACGGTTGAAAATTCAATTTAAGGTTTAGTAAACAAAAATTAAACCCTCAAAAGTTTTTTTTTTAATATTTTTAATAGCTTTTTTGATAGAGATTGATTTCTACTAAAAATATTATTTGTTTATAAAAGGAGCCCTATAGAAAATGAATTAAAAGGGTAAAACATAATTTGAATAACTAACAAACGATGAGAAAGTTGCTTTATTTGGAGAACCAACAAAGCATACATTAAAGCTGAAGAACATAAAAGTCATCGATAGATAAATAAGTAAAACTCTTTAAGAGTTTATTAAATTAAATAGAAAGGATACCAAATAACAATCAGAGCTTTTTTTACAGAAATTTGTTATAAAACTTGACAATAAATATAAAAGCTTTTGGGATATTTTCGTTTTATTGACTATAGCTTATAATGTTGCAACTGTAGCATTTTAGTAATCCTTTATTAATATTTTATTCTTTAAATTTAGTGTTTTAAATATTGAAATTATGATATATTATATAATAAATATGTAATTTTAAAGATTTTAACCAATTTTTACAAAAGCGTAACATTTGATACAATTGAGGCATTGTAAATCGTTGATATTATAGTTGAGGTAGTATTTGGTTTAGATATTATTTTAAGATTCTTTCATGAGTATAAAGACCCAGAGTCTTTTGAAATTGTAAGTGATATAAAAAGAATAGCACATAGGTATTTAAGGTAAATTATTAAAAATAAATAAAAGGTTTTTACTAAAAATTATATTATATTTAATTATTATATCAAGATTTTGGTTTTGGATTGATATTGTTGCTCTCATTCCTTGGGATGTTTTATTGGCTTAAGGCTAATCGCTTAAACTCATAAGACTAGCAAGATTACCTAAATTTTTGAGACTGCTTGAGGCATAGAAGATGGATGATTTGCTTGATATGCTTTTAGAAAAGTTTTCACAAAAACAAAAAATGAATTACATATTTTTTATTCGTTATTTGTATAAATTTATGAAATTCGTTATATTTGCTATTGCTCTTACCTACTTCATTGGGTGTATTTGGTATATATTTAGATACAAAAAGACCATCAACTTATAAATATTTTTAATTAATAACTGATTTAGGTATCTGGTAGTTACTTATGCTGAGAAAGATTCAGGAGAAGTTGGTTTTATAGAAAAGTATGGAATTAACTTTTATGATAATAAGAGAAAGTTAGTAATCTGCTGTTATTTCGTAATGACAACTATAACAACAGTTGGTTATGGTGATTACACTCCATAAAGCAATAATGAAAAAATTGTCGGTATTATCATTATGATACTGGGTATTGCTTTCTTCTCTTATATAATGGGTACTTTTAGTATTATTTGATCAAAAATAAATTTATCAATATAATTTACATAGGAAACTTTACTGATGTTTTAACTAGCTAAAAAAAGCTTGGTGAGGGCTTTAAAAGCTCTGACCTTTAAAGATGGCTCACATCTTTATGTAATTCAAAAAACTATATTTTTAGTTTAAGTATGTTAAATAACATTTTAAATTTAATTTAGCTAAATTTAATTCTAAACCACTTCCACAGAGCCTAGTTTAAAAGATTGATGATCATTTTAATTATTTCTGGAAACATGATAGACTTTGTGATTTAAAGAAAGATGATAAATATTTACTTTCTATGCCAAAACCAGTTAGAAAAGATTTGATAAACTATCTCTTTTATGATATTTACAAGCTATTCCGTGGTTTTTTTCACCTCTCTGAATTCTAAGACTCCAATTTTTTCTATGAACTTTCATTTGAAATTTTACCAAGAAAGTAAAACATTAAAGAATAACTCTTTTTAAAAATAAGATTAAACAACTCTTATTATTTATTGAAAACTTTTTTTTTCATCACTCTTAAAAAATTTTATAAAATTACTATTTTTGACACATGAAATATTTTAGAAATGTTAATTAATAAATTAATTATAATAGGTATAACCCAAAAGATTATATAATAAAATAAGGAGAAGAGTTTTAAGAAATTTATTTTATTATGGAAGGAGAAGTAAAAAACATTTTAAAATTTATACAAGTGATTAAAGTAAATGTTTATTTTAAAAGATGAGAATTAGCTTTAATTATGAAGAAAAAGAAGTATTTAGAACACTAACAAGGGGACACTACTTTGGAGATTATAATATATTTTACAATCAGTCAAGCTAGTATGATTACAGTGCTCATACACTGCTAAAAGTATTAGCTATCCCTAAACACAGATTTATAAAATTGCTTGAAAAGTATGTAGAAATCAAGAACAAAATATATTCATATTCATTTTAGTTTTACAAACAATAAAATAAAGCTATGGTAATTTTTTTTTCAAATTTAAATAGTTAAAAAAGCTGACTCTCTTTATGTATTTATTTATTTAAATAGCTTCTGAAATTAAAATAAGTTGTTAGAGAAATCACTAAAGATAAGCCAAATGAAGAAGATGTTCTGAAAATTTTTAAATAAGAAGTTATTTAAAAAGTTTCTAAAAATTAGGCAAATGTATTCCCATTTAAAATTATAAATTCTGGAGAAACTCTATCGCTGAATGAAGTTGAAGAGAATATTCTCTAGTTGGAATAATAAATAGATAGTATTGCTTATAAAATAAATTTGATAAAGAGCAAAATAGAAAAAGAAATTGATGAAATTGCAGATAGTGTATAGGGAATCAAAATGAACATGCTCGAATCTGAAAGTTGATTTGGTTGTTCTATTTTCTAAGAATTCAAATATGCTATATCTTTGGAATTTTTGTACAAGATGCTTCCCTACTACCATATATTTATTTCACATTTGAATTTGCTTTTCAGTTAATATTATAAAAATAAATTAATCCAATAGCTATTTATCAAAAAAACGAAAATAATTCTGATTTGGTTATTTAAAATTATATTTCATTACAATTAAAAATAAAAAAAATCAATTAAAAAAAGCAAATCATAGATTATCCTATCTTTTTATTTATTTATTAATTTGCTTATTTATTAGTTGTTGTTTTTTTTTGAAAATCGTTCGAAATCAATGAATAAAGAAGTAAAAAATTAATTCAAAAATAATAAGTTTGGAATTATTTGCTTTTATTTCATTTTGCTTATCGATTTATATATATATATATGCAAATATATATATTCACATCTCTTTTAAAATTATGTATGAATTTTTTATCAGTTTTATTTGATACATTTTTGAATTTAATTATCTTTATAAAATAAATAATAAACTTTGCAAAATATCCCTGATGCTTTTTATAATGAATTATTCAAACTGATAAATTAAATATTAAAAATTGTAATTTTAATTAAAAAATCTAAACATAGAGAGAGATTAAAAGCCAAAAAGTGTAAAATATAAGCTTTATTTGTTAGAAGTTATATAGACAATAGATCTTATTTGAAGTCTCTCATAGTAAGCTTTAGCATTATCGATATTTACAGGCAATTATCAGATGTTAGGAAAATCTAAAATCGGATTGTACTTTGAAACGATCCTGGAGATTATTGAAGACAAGCCGAATTTTACTATACCTGTTTTTTTTTATTGCTTTATGATCTAAATTCTTTTTCATTAGATTGCTGGATATATTTTTTCTAACTTTGAAGATAAACCATTAAGTGAATAAAAAGTGTCATTTGTAGCACACATTAATGAAATAGCTCCTATCACTTTCTTGCTCTTCTTTAAAGGAAATGACACTCTGTCTTTAATATGTTTTGCTTTTATGCAATTGTTAATGTATTTCTACTTCATATATGTAGGGATTCTAACTTATCTAAAGAATTTCAAAAAGTATTTTTATTAGAAAAATCAAAAGGTCTTTCGCTAAACAAACTAGTTCTTGAACGTATTCTTTACCTTTTATTGGTGGCTTTTTTTTACGCCATACATTGAAATCAACAGTGGTATGCTCGTATGTGGAGACAATAGCTTTTTAGTTTAATTTAGAGGTAAATCTTGCAGTGGAAAATCTCCTATAATTACAATACTCTCTGTTATTGGTCTCTTTCTAACAATAACTACAGCTTTTATTATTGTTTATTTCTTTAGAAATTATGAATTCAATGAGTAGAATTTACTTAAAAGGCGCTTCCATTTTATAATTTTATTTTAACTTGTTGGGAGATTTCTTCTGACGTTTTTTTATTACCTGAACCTGCCTTCTGTTTTAGTATTTAAGCACATAGTAGCTCAAGAAATTGGAATTTGTTTCCTCTATGATACTTTAATGAATTGGCCTTTTAGCAATCATACTGTAGCAAAATTCTACAGCTGTGCCTCTTGTATCTTCGAAATTTCTATTGTATTGTGCAATCTTTGGATGTTCAGCTCTTTTATGCCATCAACTGAATTCTTTTATTATCTAGTTTTTTTAGGTAAGTAAAGAATTAATTATTTTTTAGTTATTAATAATGTAAACATTCTACTTCAAGGAGAAAAAAAATTTATTTGCCAGTATTAAATTCTCATTATAGAAAAATTATTTTTTGTTTTTTTGCCTTATATTAGATTATAATCTATTAGAACTTTTACAGTATAGCAAATATATTTTTTTAAAATTTCAGGTTTACTCTCATCTGCGTTAATGACTCAAATGTGGCGATTCAAATATGAAACAATTATGAGAATAGATTAGGATAAATTTTAACTTTTTTTCAAATAATCTGATTTTATCTTAGAAGAAATGGTAAGGCTACTATTAGACAGTTAGAGAGACGAGACTAGTAAATTTAAGCTATTTGAAATCCTAATATTTCATTAAAAAGTTTGTAAAGATCCAGAATGTTATTGCCAAAAAAATAATTTTAAAAATTAAAGTAATAACGACTTAGATGAAGAAAAAGTTTTTAAGTTAATTGATTCTATTTTTAAGTGGATTTTGGCTTCTAAAACACTTTAAAAGAATTTAGATGAGTTTGAACATCTCTCTCTTAAATATATCTCTTACCTTGCTAAGTACAGAAATAATACTTCAAGGGCCTACTATGAGTTAAAAGTAAATAAATTACTTTACAATTTTAATCAATTAAGTTAATGCCAAATATCTTTTTTAATAGTCCATACTTTCTCAAAGGAGCAACATCTCATTCTACTTCAAGATTATTTCTAAAATTTTATCAAAATCAATTGAAAATTAGATGGAATAATAATATATAAAAAATAATGTCAATTAAGAGTACAGAGAAGATCTGGATTTAACTGTAGTTTGGAAGATGGAGGAACTAAAACAAAATTTCGTTCCAAAGATATCGCAAGCATTAAATCATAAAGTAGTTTATTGGGAGAAGATGAAATAAGGTTTTTCAAAAATGGAAGATTGTATGAAGTATTCTATAGAAAAAATATAAGATATCGAAAGGCTAGATAAATTCTTTTAGTTAGAACTAAGCAGAATGGGCTCTGATGAAAAAAGTTGCTATATTTATTACAAAATATGCTCTATGTTTGAAATACTGGTCAGAAATTAAATTGTAAGTGCTATGAAGTTAGAGCTTAACGCAAATGAACTAAGAAAACGAGACTAATCCAAACCTAGCGACTAAATACATAACTTCAAGTTAGCTAAATAGCAAGTTATTTCATTTCTAGTATCATTTTCTAAAGATAGAGGTAGGATAGTTTCTAAAAAAACAGCTTATACAGCTAAATTCTTTGGTTATTAGTAAGATGAAGTAGATAATATCAAATACATTAACGATCTAATGCCTAAATATATTAGCAACATTCATAATTAACTAATGGAAAATATGAATTGGTAAAAAATGAATTAATACAAATTATTTCTAACGTTTATGTTTGTTTTAACTAAAAGGAAAGGGACATCAAAATATATAAAAGGTAGCATTAAGTCTTACTACTCAGATAAAAATGGATTTATTTATCCAATAAAGACATTTTTAGACCATTCATTTGGGCATTTTGATGATTTTTGTTTACTTTCTTCTGTGTTGAAAGTGACTACCTCAAACGATTTTATTGTTTTTGATGAAACAGGAAAAATCTTAGGAATTTCTGAAAGTATCTATTAAAAGTTGTTCAGTTCAGAAAAGAGAATGTCTATATAGAAGCTGTATAAATCTGGTTTCATCTTTCTTTTGTTTAAGGAAATAGTTAATTAAATATCGGCCAACAAAAAAGAAATAAACACAAATTACAGTGATTAATAGATCATTTAAATAACTAATACAAACAAAGGTTATTTTAATTTAAACCATAACTTTGACTTTATGTTTGATTAATTCCACCAATATATGTAAGACAATTCAACCCAAACGCTTCAAATAGTTACATTCTTTTTTATAAATAGGCTTCTAGCAGGCAAAGAGCTTGAAAATTCTAATTCTGGATAAGTTAAGTTTAGAAGTAAATAAGGTACTAAAAAAATAAAAGATTTTACTAGATCATATGAAAACTCGTCATCTTCGATGAATATTCCTTAACTTAACTTGCTTGAAGAAGGTTGCTCACAAACATTAAATAAATTTTTTGAGTATTACTCTGATACAAAAGCTGATTTATAAAATACAAAATAATTTTCAAACTTTGATACTGGATCATAATTTAATGAATAAATATAAATAAGATTATTTTTTAAATACTAATTGCAATACGAGTGTATAAAATATAATTAAGACTAGAAATAGATGAATATTTTCCATTTAATTCTTTCAGATACCGCTGTTTCTAAGAGGAGAGTAGGATCGAATTATTAATCCAACATGAGCTTAAACACTTATATTAATTCTACTCAAGTAGGAGGTGCTTCAAGTTACAGACTTAAAACATTTATTTCAAAGGGTGGGGATACTGATTTAGGGGGATCAGTTAGGTTAACTGATGAAAATCGATAAAATATAGCTCACTAAAATAAAGATTAAAAATAGTAGCAACATTTGTAAAATGTATTAGATACGAATAATCATTATGAAAGTAATTTATTTATTTGCTTACTTAGTTTCTTATATTTCAAAAGAATTAAATTTATTTATTCAAGTTCACATAATTTAAAATTCTACTAATAATTAGATAGTGAAGATGATGAAAATTGGGAAGATTATCATTAAGACCAAGGATCCCCCAATAGAAATTAGACACAAAATAATGCCAAACTCCATTCAAAAAGTATAGGAAAAAAGAAAGAGTAAATAGATTTAGAGCATATTGATGAAGCTGCCAACAAAGAAGAAGATTCTAACAAATAAGCTTCTATTAAAAATGATGGGGATTAAAAATAACTTAAAGCATTTGAAGATTTGAATATTTCTTCACAACCTACTAAAGTCACCAATACCAATTTGACATTTTCAAATAAAAAAAAAGGAAATGGACAAGATATTTATTTAGATAAAACCTCTTAAAATGGATTAGTTAGCAAGTAAATGCTCAATGATTCTATTTTAAATGAATCGAATATTGTCTCAGGAGAAAATAAAAGCTTTCTTGAAGCTAGCTTTTAAATAGAATAATCTATGGTGAGAAATAATTTCTAACTTCTATCCACTACCAACAGAAATATGAATGACTACCCATTATCTATGACTGGTAGAAACAATGAATCTTAAAGGCCAGTACTGGTAGGTCCAGATAACTTGCAAGCAGAGTTTTTTTCACCATAAAATAATATGAGATAAGCAATAGATTAAGATGAAATAATGATAACTATGGATGACTAAAAAAATACAGAACCTCCAATAAGCTTAAGATTCAAACAAGGAGTTCCAGAATAATAATCTAAGTTTTTTCCTAAATCAAGTAGCAATCAAAACGACGAAAATCCTCTTCCAAAAGCATACTCCTTTATTGAGTAAAAGCCTACTTTATAGCCATAGTATAGTGGAGTTTAAGAAGACTTTGTAAAGGTAAGTTCATTAAATCCTATTAGAGACTCAAACCTAGACGATGCTATGAAAAATGAGGATTTAGAGCAAGATTATTAAAGAATATAAAAAAAGAGGTCTCTTAAAGACTCTACAAAAGAAAAAAAGAAAAAGTACTCTTTGAGATCTGAAAATAACTTAGAAGATGACGCCAATTAGCAGTAGTCTCTAGCCTCTCACAGTTCAATCAGAAGTTCTTATGGTACATAATTTGTAAGGGAGATTCTTAACTCTAAGAGACTGCCTAATGCCTCTAAAAATTTTAATTTAATTTAGCAGCTGTTTGTAATTGGATTTATCATTATTGTTTTAGTGAATGTATTTTACCTTTCTTAATAAATAACTATTATTTCTGATGATATGAATAATTATTTACTCTTTGCTAATATGACATCTTCAGTAGGTAAAGGACTCATGTCTCTTATTGGCTTGAATGAAATTTAATATAATCTCCTTGCTCCTAATGCAGTTTAAAACACTAAACTTTATTAATAGTACTTAACTGAGGCAAGCTAGTAATTTTAAGATAGTTTCCTTGATTTAGAGAATAGCCTAACAACAGATGTATAATCCTTATTTTCAAGCAGTGATTAATAAATAACTTTCTATGACTACACTTATACAGGTAGTCTATAAAAAAGTACTATTTCAGTTTTATAACTGATTTATATTTTCTAGAACGCTTTACTATTAAGCAGTTAAACTTCATCTTAAACACATTAAATTCCACTGAAACTAGCCTATTATTAATTGAGATTTAACTTTAAGCAATTTATAGACAGAATGTTTACAGTTAAAAATAATTAAGATAGTAACATAAATAATAACATATCAACAATTAACTAAATATATATAATAAGCACAATTATTTCATGCATAATTTGTTTTTTGGTTGTAATGGCTTCTATACCAATGATACAAAAAATAAATTTATTTAAGGAGAAGGTCATTCTACTTGTTACTCGTATAAAAGTTGACGAAGCTGATGTGGAAATTAGCAAATACAAGTAATGTATAGAGGAACTGTAAGATGTAGAAGAGTCATATTTGAATACAGACTTTTTTAAAATATTTACTTCTAAGAGAAAATTTCACAAACGTTCGAGAGCAAAAGATGATGGAAAAGAAAATTAAGAATACATATATGAAGAAGATTTAGAGCACACCTACAAAGTAATGCAAAAGAATGAAGGAGGTTAATAAATTAAGCAAACAATAAAAAAGTAATCAAACCAAAGCACTATAAAAAAATCTAACAAAAGTTCAAGTAGATTTAAGTAAAATGTGATAAGCTCTAAAATATTTGATTAAAGATTAGGACTCGCTAAACAATTTTTTAGTTTTTTGTCTTACTCGTTTATCACTATTGGGTTCTTCATAGCAATTTTAGTATTTATAGTATTAAGAAATAATTCTATTACAAATTCTTTGAATATATCTTAAATTACTCTCAATACTTAATACTCTCTTGGAGCACTTTACTCTTATTCAGAATTGAACGTTATCGAGAAGCAATTTTCTAATGCAGATCCTTTTTATCCTGCTCCTTCACTTTCTTAAAGATAGACAGAACTAGGATATTAAAATGATTATATATAAATTATATAATCTTTTAATTAGGAAAATATTAATAATATTTATGGAAATACAGCAATTTCTAGCTCTTCAATTTCTTAAATCAAAGATTTGTTCTAAAATAATCTTTGTAATTATTTTTCCTAGTATTCTCAATGCAGTAACTTTAATGATGGTATATCTGGTTATATAACTCAACTCTTTTCATTACTTCAGAGTCATGTAAATATTTTTGATTCTACCAAATTTCCTACTTCAACAGATGCATAATATTATATCTCATCTAATGAGCACCAAAGAGTTATTTCAGAAGCATACATTGTCCCTGATTAAGCTATATATTTATTTAACTCAATTATTTTAGATGCTAATATTTAGCTTGTCAAAGATATGTCACTTCTAGTTAAAGTGGTTTATTATGTAGCAGGACCTTCAATAATTTTATTTCTTATAATATTTTTCCTTATTTAATGGTAAAACTTGAAAAATGAACTAAATTCTTTAAGTTATTTGCTCACACTAATTCCAGAAGAAAAAATATCTGAAGAAATTACATTGCAAATGCTAAAACAAATAAGAACCTTCTGATTCAATAAAATATATTGCAATATAAAATTAAATTATTTTTTAAATTAAAATATATTAATTGTTTGTGTAATTAATTAGCTTTCATAAAATACCTTTTTGTGTACAAAATTTTTCTTAAATTGGTGTAAATTAATTAAGTCTTTGAATTAAGAAGAATATTTTATTTATATTCAAAAGTTTTTGTTTTTTCATAAAATATTCCAAATAAAATTTATAATTTTAATTCAGCTTATAATTTTCAAATTTTGTAATAAGAAAAAGAAATTAAAGACAAAGTGAAACAACTAACTTAGATTTTCGATTTTTAAGTTTTTACGACATTTTATATGTTAAGTTTTTAAAACTCGACTTATATTAATGGCATGAGATATTCTTCAGGTAGAGCATGAGAAAATCCTGATTCAGTTTTTTAAAAAACATTTATAAAGGTGGTTGATATTAAATTATCAGCAATAACATAATGAAAGTAAAAAGGGCCACCCAATAGGGTTGATAATATTTCTTACTTTCGAAGACCTTTTAAATAGAATGGAGTAAGATGAAAATTTTTCTATATTTACAAATCTACTGCTCTCCACCAAAGAGTAATAGAGGAGTATTGATAGATTAAATTGAATTCTTCCTTCAATCAGATTTCTCATATAGCTTTCTTGATTTATCATCCATGACCAATTCATCTCACAAGTGCATTGTAGAAAGGGCACGCTAATAGTTGAAAAACTCTTCGAATCAAATCGGAAAAAGAATCTCTAAAGTTAGCTTCACTAAAAGTCTCCAAAAAAGGAGCATCTCTTTCTACTAAATATATAAAAAATATTGTTTAAAAATAGGAAAAGCGAAAGAAGAAAGAAACAAACAAACAAATAAAAAAGAAAGAAAGAAATATTAATAAAATAAATTTGAATAAATAACAAAAGAAAAATTTAAAAAGTTGATTACCCAAAAATATATATTTAATTAATTAAATAAATAAATAAATTAAGAAAATTAACCAACAGACAAACTAAATTATAACCTTAATACAAATAAATAAATATTTAAATATAAATAAAAATTAAAATAAAATATTTTGAAAATCAATTTAAATTTGTAATGAAATTATACTTGCTACTTGCTATTCATTTTTTTAAATTTATTTAGGTTCATTAAGAATTAATTGATTTTGCTCTCAAAATTATCAATTTTAATATTTTAAAAATATTATTTTTACTTTATTTTTTCTTAATAAATAAAAAAAATTTAAATTTTATTAAAAAGAAAAGACTTTTTTTTGCCAAAAAATAAAAAATTTTTTATTAAACAAAGTTTTATATTTTTTATCTATTTGATGAAAACAATTTTTAAATATCAAAATTGAAAACTATTTTATTTATTATTAAATTTGTAAACAAAAATTTTATAAAACAATATCTTTCAATCATAAAATATAATGATTCACTTAAATTCACTTGTTAAATTTGATAAGAAATATTTAGTCTATTTATCCTTGCTTTTATAAGTAAGTTTATAGATATTATTTATAATTATTTTTAAATTTCAATTAGTAATAAAAATATTTTATCATATTATTAATCTTTTTTTTTTACTAATTATGTATTAATTTTAATTTTATTAACTTTAAACTGCAAAAAATATGAATAGTTAAATAAATTAGACATCTTCTTATTTATGTATTATTAAATATAAAGCAATACTAGTTAGCTATTTCGTAAATTAAAATCAATAATTTACATCTACAATTAAATTTCTAAAATTTTTTAAAGATTCTAAGTATAAATCTTTAGTTTTTTGAACTTACTCGAGTTGACTCTGTGTTTCTGTAAGCTAATAAAAAATATATTAAATTAAAAATATATTTACTAAGCTTGATAAATTACTTTTTATTCTATTAAACTATTTTATGCAATTAACTATTCATTTTCCTCATGCAGCTTTTTCTTTTATCCTTATAACTGTAAAAGCTATATAAAGGTTTATCAAAAATAATTTAATAAAATTATTTATTTGTTAAAAAATTATCTACTTCAGCCATTTATTATTCCTACTAATGAAGTGATTCTTTTTATTAACCTTCTACTTAATTTTCAAGTTAAAGTACTTTGTCGTTTAAAATTTTTATTTTAGTAACATATTTATCATGATTTGTCTTTTCTTAGAAAAGTTCATCACTTATATTTTTTATATTATCTTACAAATTAGCATTTTGTTATATTTTTTTATGTAATTCGTCTGCTAAAATTTGCATTGTATGCTTAAAAGTCATTAATTATGCCTCAAAATCTTCTCCTGATTCATATTTAGCAGAATTAAATCTTTCCATTAAAGCAGTCACAGAAGAAGAATCAAGTCCAGATCCCTAATTTTATATCTTTTTTTATTTATCCAACTCATCATTTTGTAATACCTATACTAACCTCCTTTGAGCATATTAAGATCTAGTAAAGAAAAGTATTTTATAACCAATAGGTGAGTATATTAGTTTGTATAGTGATTTATTGACTAAAGCTAATACCATAATATCTTAATCACTTAAAAATATGAATATTCTTGAGAGTAAGAAAGTCTTTTTGAATTTAAATAATGTTGGAATTTCAGATTAATTTTAGTTGAGCTATTTTGCCTAATTTCTCTACGTGTCTATATCCCATTTTACTTTCTTTAGTGTTGCAGCTAAACTATTTACATCTTCTTTGAGCTTACTTATTTCAACATCATTATAAACACTCATATTCTAAAATTCTACCTTTTCAAATATATCTTTTATTTTTCTATTATGAATTCTGTATAAAAAGTATAATCAAAGATATTCTTATCAGATATTTCATATAATTATATTTATTATTTTGTTTGTATTTGATAAGTATACGTTTACACAAATCTAGAATCTCTACACGTAATATGATAGATAGGATGATAAAAAGATGTATTAGACATTTCTTGGAGTACTAAAGTAGAATTTAAAAATTAATATTTCTATTTAAACTTAAAATAAATTAAAAATTTACAAAAAAATAGAAAGAAACTAATATAATATAAATACATTAATCAAAATATTTGCTTAAGTATAATATATATACATATAAGGCATAAAGTATGTAAAAATTTTCTGTTTACCAATCACTTATCTAAAAAATATTACAATTAATAGTAGTAATTATCTGAAAAGATAAAAAAAAGTGAAATGAAAAATAATATTTTTATATTTAAAAATAGTCTTAATAGCCTCAATAACAAACATAAAAATAAAAAAATGATCTACAATAAATATTAGTGTTTTTTAAAATTAAAAAAAGATCAAAAAAATTAATTATCATTTTAAACTATATAAGTAATAATATTTTGATTTATGGTAAGCAGTGATTGGTGTTTAAATAGATTTTCAAAATAAAAGTAGTGATACTAAAAACTTCATTTTAAATTTAAATCAATTTATTGATATTTGATACATATTATGTGTCCATAGTAATAAATTCTGTACAAAAGTATGAAATTTTATTTTAATATGAATTTAAGACTTGGCTAAAAAGAAGAAATCTCTCATTAGTATATATTATTATTATGATGAATTATTTATTTTATAAATATTATCAATTTTTAACAGTTGCCATAAATCAATCTATCTTATAATTGAATTTAAATTTAATGAAAGTAATTTAAACTAATTAATTATCTTTCTAAACTATTGAAATTTTTCAATATCTATCTAATATGATATATGGCACTTATAATTTTATATATTTTAAAAATATTCTATATACAATAAATACATTTCTTATTATCTAACGCTTTATGTAAGTTAATCTATCTAACGCTTATTTAATAAATTTTAACTATATTTACATTGTCAATTTTTCAATTTTCTAAAATTTGTATCTTGAATTTATCTTTTTTATTTAATATTTTAAATTTTAATAAATTATGTTTAAATTTTAAATGCTAATTACCTTTCTGCATGGGTGAGATCTTTTTCACTATATTGCATTTAGGTATCTATTTTAATATCATTATTTGGTTTATGAAAATTTTGATGTAAGGAATTGTGCTAGCATGACTCTAAATATTTAATTTTCTTCTTTATTTTTTTTGTCTACTTATATAATTGATCCAATTTAATTTCAGTAAAAGATGCAAACGATAGACTATCATTCAGTTCTTTCGTGTTGTGGAATCTGTTTTTTAAAATGTATTTAAATTTTAATCACACAAATTTTAATTTAAATTATGTTAAAAATATTAATAAAAATATTTTTGAAATGGTTTAAAATTACAAATCTTCATTTTCGTTGCTGCTTTTCAAACTGTTGTTTCTTTGATTTTTGTTAGAATATTTTTTTGATAAATCTCTGCTGCTTCTATTTGTGTTTGAATAACTTGAAATTTTATTTACATGTATAGATCTAGTGCTTTTTGACAACCCTTGTGATTAATTTAATGATTGTAAACTGGCATTATTTTCTAAGTTTTCAGTTGATTTATTATATAAACTTTGCTGGTGGTTAGCAAAGTAAGGATTTAACAGTGAGCTTTACACTTCCATTTAATTTTGGATATAATTTTATATTGGATTATTTAAATTAACTGATCTTTCTTTAAACGAAGGAGAAGGTTTGTAATTATTCTTTTTTACCTCTAATTCTTTGTAAATATGTTTATCAATAGTTGAGTTTGGTTTATTATTATAAAAATCAGAAAAATAAGGTTAAGAAGAACTGATTTTATTTGCTTATTTAGTTTATGAATTATTTGTTGTGGAAGATAAAATTTAATTCATTGAGTGCTAACTAAAAGTGGCTCCTCTTTTACTGTTGCTGGCCTAGCTATTTAAATCTTCTGTAGAATTACATGGCTTATAATCTAAATGGTGTAGAGTGGATTGCTAAGAAATTAAATTTTTTTGAACATCCTTCTCAAACTTCGATGACAGAGGTGGCATATTATGAATGCTTGATAATGTCTAACTCTTAAAAGCTTTATTACTTTTATTTTTTTTCTTTGTTTCAAATTCTTTTAAAGACTCCATAGCCTCTCTATCAATTTTTTTAACTTCTGTAAACTTATATTGCTATTTTGGCATAAAAAAATCTAAATTTTCTTAGGATTAAAGAGAATTTTGTTTTTTAGAAATAAATGCAGCTACATCTTCTTTGACTTCATTTAAAACTTCCTTTGGTTCTCTGTAAGTTAGAAATTTGTTCAAACATTTAAATTACTCTTTTTACTAAGGAGTCAAAGATTATATTTTAGAGTCTATTTTTTTTTTATGTATTATCCTTCTGTAGTTAAATGTGTTAATATCAGAATTGTTAAAATTCGATTAGTTTACAGATTTAGATTTGAAATGTGAAGCAAGGTATAACTTTTAATAATCTTTAAGTAGTTCATTTGCTTTATTTCTGTTTGTTTCTTACCCTTTCTCAACAAGTAGCTTCGATTTTTCTGATATTGAGTTTAAATCTATTTAAAAAAGTTTGGCATCTACTGATCCAGGTAATATATGAGCTGGTAGATTACTCTTAAATAAATTATCTTTCGTAATAAGACTTAGTTTAGTTGACCCTTTTCTACTAAATTTATTTTAATCTTGTTCATCGATAGATAAATTCATTTTTTCTTAGCTAGCAGATTACATTCTATCTGTCTTATTTTATTCATTGTTATTAGCTGTATCATTATTCAAGCCTAGGAATTTTTTGAATCCATCTTTGTTCTTCATAAATGCAGTAAATGCAATACCCTTTGCAATAAGTTACCTCCTTTAATCATTCGAATTACGATTAGAAGTTTAAATTTATGCTTCTTGGCTAAATGAATTGTCGAGAAAAGTTGGTTTTCTTTCATTTTTAAATTAATTTACTTCAACATCATCACAATTTTGTTACTAGTATTACTAATTTAGCAAAGTAAATGATATTGTATCTTTTTGCTAGTTATCATTGCTATCTTAAACACTAGCATTGTCAGGAGTATCTAGCTGGTTCAAAGATGACTATTTCTGATAATTATCCTTAGCATTTACAACAATCTAATTCTCATCCTTCATAACTTTTTTTAAAAACCTGTTTACCAGTAGTGAATGCTTGGACATTTAAACCAATTATTGTGCATTTTTAATCTCCTCTCTTCGCTTAATTATCATATCAATAATCTTTTGTCTTTGCTTTGGATCTGAAACTTTTTAAATAGTTCTATTAATGGTATCCTTGTCATATACATCTAGCATAGATTAAAATAATTTATTTAATTCTTTATTTTCTGGATTTTATTTTTAATTTTTGCTTTTGTTAGCTTAATTAGCTTCGTTTTCATTTTAATTAAAAAATGAAGATATCCTCCTATAGCTATTTAGCTAATAGATCTATGGATGCTTGCTAAATGAGTTATTCATTTCTGATTAGTTGTCGTTTTCGTTCTATGAATTACTCTAATTTACGTTAGAATTCGTTCTTTTTTTATTTTATGCTGAGTCTAAATTTGCTCTTCTCATTATTGATAAGTAGCAAAGCTTATCTTCAGATTTATTCTTAGCATGTTATTATCTCAATTTTTAAATCTCATTTGCCAAATTGCTATTGTTATAATCTTTGCAAAATATACTTTTTCTCTTTTCCTATAGTATGTTTTTCATAGAAAGAGTTTATTAGTTAAAATTTTCATTTTAATTTTCAGATGTAGCCTTCCTTTAGTTTTTTGGAGTTGATAATGTACTATTAATGTATTGGCCTGAAAACGATGTTTTCCTCACTTAAAATTAAGAATCACCATAATATTCACTATTCATTCTATGTAAAAGTGTTTTAAAATAGTTTTGAGGCAATACTAGGAGCTTTTAAAAAATAATTTTAACTTCTTTTGTATTTTATTATTTCTAGAGATATATGTATTTATTTTAGTTATTTCAAATAAGTTAATTCAATTTAGGTGATAGTATGCTATCAAAATTTTTTCGATTTCTTAAGATTTATCAAACAATCAAAAGAATAATTTGGGTTATTAAGTAAATTTAATTCAATTATTAATGGTTAGAGATTCACCTAAACTAATATCTTAGATTACAAATTTACTGATTAACCTTATAAACTTTTTAGTAGCTAATATAAGATGTAATTCTTGTTTGATTGAACTAAATTAAATTATAATTTTTAATAAACTGCACCAATTTTATTTCTAAATATTTTAGAAATCCTAAAGCAGTAAGATTTTGTTGTTAATAGAATTCTATCAGAGTACTTTATCATAAATAGATTACTTTTAAAATATTTAATGAATTGTTTTTTAAAGTTTTTGGAGCTAGATTAAATTATAATTTTTAATAACCTGCACCAATTTCATTTCTAAATATTTTAGAAACCCTAAATCAGCTAATGATTATATTGTTAATAAAATTCTATCAGTTTACTTTATCATAAATTGAAATATTTTTAAAACATTTAATTAGTTGCTATAGAGTGTTTTTAGGAGCCAAAATTAGAATTTTTCTTGAAAAATAGGGTAATAAAAAAATATATATTTATTTTTGTATTTATCCCCCTAATTATGAACATTATCCATATGAAAAATATTGAATAGATTAATTTATTTATATTAGACTTGCAAATTTACTTTGGACTAAAATACTTTTTATATTTGCTAAAGCAATAATAGCAAGAAATTATTAGTTCTTTACAAAATTATATTTTATAACAAATAAAAATAAAAAAAACATTTTTCCTTTTAATTTAATTTATGGCATGATCAAGTAAAAAAAAGCATGAATAGTAATAAATTTACTAAATAAAAAAACATCTAATTAAATATGTATTATTTTAATGAAAAAAAGCATTATCTTTTATATTATTATAATAATTTTATACATAAAAAAAAGAATTTAATTTGTAAAATTAAACTTTTTTGTTGTTAAAAATATGAATACAGAATTAATGATGGAATTTAATTACTAAAACTAAGTAAAATTAATAATATTAAAATAAAGGAAAAGGTTTCACTTTTTCTTTTTTTGAGCAGCTTTATATTCAGCAATAATTTGATCTTGAACTTCCATACCTTTACGCCATTTAAGTTCTCTCTTCATACGAACAATTTATTCATTACATTAATCTACAAATTCTTTTTCAAGCTAGAGTTCCTCTTGAGACTTTAACAATTCTTCTACTTCTAAGATAGTTGAATTCATATCTTTAAGAACAGTAGCCCAATCTGGAATAATGAATTTAGGTTCTTTCTTCTTTTTCTTTTTAGGAGGAGCTGCATAGACCTTAAGATCAGCAGGTTTTTTTGTAATTGGATCAAATGGTTTTTTAGTTTTAAAATCTATATAAAGTGGTTCGATATATTCAGCCCTCACAGGATAATCTGTGAATTTTTTATATATGTCTTTTACTCTAATACTCCTAGCCATTTTCTCTTTCATAACAACAGCTTCGTCAGTATAATTGGAAGCAACACCATTTTTTTATGCCTATTGATTACATATATAAAATTTAAATAAAAGTACAATTTTTTTAAATTTACAATTTCAATCAACTTTTCCAGCTTTTAAACTTATTCTGGATTGCAATTGCCAATGTCTAAATTATCAAACTCATAACGAAGGTCTCTTTCAGATTCTAAACGATCAATTTAATTTTACATAAGTTCTAGAACATCAGCATCTAACTAGACACCTCTTTTTTCAGCATCTTCTCTAAGTTCTCTTATTCTGTTTGCTGATTTTCTAATAGTTTTATAATCTTTAACAATTTTTAAAGAAGAAATAAATTCCTTAATATGATTTTAAGTCTTAAGTCTTTCTTAAATGATTTTAGCATCATTAAGAAGCTTAAGGTCTATCTCAATAATTAAAACATTTTATTATTATTATATGCTGTATTGTTCAATTTCATTTAATTTTTCAGTGAGACCTTTATATTCGTATTCTTTCATCTTTTCTTTTAACTATTCTGAATGATGAGCTATATTTTCCCAACACTTCAAACATTTGCCATCCATTCTTTCTTGAATAGAACTGCTGTGATTTTCCCATGCCCATTCAATTCTGTAGTATTTATCACAAAAGAATTTTCTGCAAGTTGAGCACCAATGCTTTTTAATTGAATCATTAAAGACCTTTTAAATAGAAAATTGATTGATATTCATTATTATATTGCAACTAACAAAAATTATCAAATTAAATGAATTTATATTTTAATTTAAAGTTATTAGATACTTCGTTTGTGGCAGCACATCTCAAAGCGAGTTTATGACTTTTTGTAAGAGCAATAATTTCTGGATTAGTAGCCAAATCTAATACTTCATGTCCACGGCTATTCTTACCAGTAACTTCAACACCAAGCATCATAAAACATTAAAATACTTGCAGATTTCCTCCACTAGCTGCCAAATGCACACAATTATTTCCAAATGCATCTATATCGTCCCAATTGAGACCATTCTATTAAAAATAGAAAAAAAAAAATATTTTCAATTAGAAAATATAAATAAATTATATTATTTTATTTTCATTGTAAATCAATGATTTACTTTAATTAATATCCAAACAATGTTTAGGAAGCCTTTATAACTAGCCCATTATAAAGGTGTTTATTTGATAGAAGTATTAATGACACCTAAAGTTGCCCTCTTATCGTGAAGTGTATCTTCAACATATTACTTGTGGGCATCATATTATATAAGTAATCTAACAATATCTGTATGTCCTTTACAAGCAGCCCAAATAATTGGTGTCCATTTTTTCTTATCTTCGTGATTAATGTTTTTATATTGCTTCTTCTCTAAGAGCTTCTTTAATTCTGCATACATTCCTTTAGAAGCATAAGAAATCAATTTTTCATTCCCCTTATTTTTAACTTCTTCTTCGTTCTCTTCCTCTTCAAGATCGTTAGGATCTAAATCGTCTCTATTATCCATTTCCTATTTTATTTACTACTATTCTTAATTGTTAATAAACAAAATCTTATATTCTTTATGTCAAGTTTTTTGTTTATTTAACTAACTAACTAACAAACAAAAAAAATAAACTAAATTGTGTTAAATGATTTAATTTTCTATGATTTTTTCAATATAATTTTTCTTCTATCTTTGTTTGTTATGTTTTTTTCTATTAAATTTTGTATACTCTCTACATAATTGATAGTCAGTTTTCTATATAAATTAGGGGTGTTTGATAAATTGAATGATTATCTCTCAATTAATAGAATTAAAACTTAGACATTAATCAGTTGCTTTTTTTTAATGATCAAAAGAATTTTTATTATTAATTATGATTGTCATATATTTATTTATTAATTAATTAATATATAGATTTTCTGACTTCAAAAATTTTAATTTTGCCATTTTTTATTTACAAAAAGCTTGAAAAGAATTTTTGTGAAATTCATTTTATTTAATGATTAAAATGGAAATTTTTCAAAAAGTAAAATGAAAATATTGAGATAAGTTTGTTTAGTTTTGGTATTTAGACTTAGTATGAGTAATGAATTTTGTTATAGATTTATAAAAAAAATAAATTATAAAATTTATTTAGCAATAAATCAATTATTAGAACTGGCTCACATGATATTTGATATTTTTTGTATCTTAAATTTTAAATTTTGAGCAGAATTTTATTTTTGAAGATTAAATATTTAATTAAATTAAGAATTATTTGATACAATTTAAATAGTTTTTTTAGTAGAAATATAGATAGCATTAACAAAGATAAATAGATGTCTTCTGCCAGTATACTTATTCCCTCTAAATTTATTGCAATTATCCTGCACGTAATTATATCAGGATGCATATTAGCAAATTATGTAATTACTTACTTTTTTACTGCCCCAAACAAATATTGTTTAAAATTGAATATCTTAGGAAGACAATATTTTGTCAGCAAATATTAATAAATTAAACTCAGATGGTTCTACTAATAGTTAATGGTCAACGGCATAAGCAAGGTGAATATTAAAATATTAAATCTAAAAGTAAATATATCTGAATTAAAAATAGTATTGTAGCTGCTATGGTTACTTCTGAGATATTTTTATTTATTGAAATTATTATCTTATTTATTGGAATCAACATGTACTGCGATAAGCTTAACATATTACGTAAAATAATAAATAAAAGTGATAGAATCTTTAAAATAAAATAAAATTAATATATAGAAACAATAGGTCATAGCATAGGTGTAATTCTTTATTCTTGGTTTACATTAGATAGCTGGATGTATAATGAAATTTGGTCTCCTTGGTTCTTTTTTAGGTAATTAATTTTAAATTTCAATTCCTTAATTGCTAACAAATAAATAATAAATAACAGTTTTTGCCCTTTTGCTGGTGAGATTTACTAGGCTGTTTCATCATTACTTTATTACAAAAGATATAGAGCTTGATATATCATAATTGATTTTATTAATAATGAGGGAGATCTTTTAAATATTTTTGAAATAACTTAAAAATAAGTAAGTAAATGTGAAATAAGTAAAATAAATAGGAAAGAGTATAAATTGCTTTGCTTGTATATAATATATTATATATTAATAATATTTTAGCTATATAAATATTAAATTAATTATCAATTCTCTAGTAAAATTTTTAATTTTATGAAAATACTTAGATTTTTTCAAATAACTAATTAAAAGCATTTATTAATACAAAAATTTTATAGTATATTAGCTTGAATTGCCTAAAAAAACAATTTTATAAATTCATAATTACACAATTCACCTCAATTAATTATACTCTCTTTTAAATTTTTATAAACAAATATTTATTAATTATTTATTAAGATAGATAACTTAAACTAAACAAAAATTTAAGCAATTTTCCCTCTTAAATAATTAAAAAAATTAATTTTTAACTTTAAATATAAAACAAAATGCTTTTCTAATATTTAAAAATTTAGCAATTAAATTAAATATGATGATTAAATATTTTATTCATCATCTAATTTGATAGTTTTATTTTCAAAAAGGTGAAAAAAGCATTTAATAAATAAATTTTATGATTTTTGAAAAAATAAAAGTAGTATTTTTTAAAAAAGACAAAGTATACTAAAAATAATAAATTTAGATTTTATCTTTTAGCTAAAATATATAAATAAATACTCAATTTTAAACTTTTAAAATGCTTTATAATTAAATTTTATTAGACTCATAAATTGATATTTTTAATATTTGATTTTATATATTATTTTTTATTTAGTTTGCATGAAATCAATCTGCATGTTTGCTTTTGAAACTAACATTTGTTAATCATAGTTATCATGTTTTTAGCAGTAATTTTCAATATTTGGTTTTTTATTAAATACTAAAATAAGAACTAGAAATCAAAGTGAGAAATTTAAAATTTATGGGAAATATAGAAAGAAATCGATGATAAATAATTAATTTAGAGCTTTAGATGATATCTAAACTTTAAACTCTAATCTAAATAAAAATTATTTTGTTAGCTTTAACATCAACCTATTACATCTTAGATTTTTTAACAGTTTTTATTTTGGTTTTTCTGATCATTAAATAGATATTTATTGTTTTTTTAATTGGTTCTTAACTTTTATTTTTAATATATTTAGAAAAAATCAATTTATATGTTTTTGGAATGAAGATTAATAATGAATAGGAGGCTTTTTTGCAGATTTGTTAAAGTATAACTGTATAAATTTCGTCTATTGCAAATTACTAAAATGGCTATTTTGACGATTAGCTGGTTTTTAATCATATATAGGAAAATTGATTATCCTTTAAGAATTTATATTTTAATCTGCATAGTTTGAATTCATAACTTAAGATTTTTCATCGTTATTTTGATTATCGTTTAGTATTGATGATAATATTAATTATGGTAACTTATTCGTATTTTTTCTTTACCACGGTGAGTTATAACTTTATTTAGCTTCATTATTGTTTTATGTATTATCTGCTTAACTAATTTTAGGATAGTTACTATTTTTTTAAGGTGTTTATCTTGTTGAATCAAATTCATTTTTTTAATTTCCGTTTTTAATTAACCCAATTAAATTGAGGGAATCTCTAGAATCTTTTCTGCTTTAACGAAATGAGCTCTTCCTACTTTTGTGATCCTCTAATTTGCTAACAGTAGAATTTACTTAATCGTAATCTGGGTAATTTCTAGCTGATTAAGGTAAATAAATCTACTCCTCTTATTCCAAAAATAATTATTATTGTTATATAATTTATTGTTAATCTTTATTTGCACTTTGATGGTGCTGCCTTTAGTTTTTTAATAAAAGAGCTTGTTGATTAGCTGCTTTCTTTGAACTATCTTTCTATTACTGTTAAGATAATTCAATATTATTTCCTGCAAACACATTTCCTTTTAAAATTGGAAGGTTTTTTTATTTTAATTATATATTTTAAGATGTAAGAATATCTTCTTATGTTTAATATTTTTGTTTTTCAATTTAAATAGGAGATCGCTCGTTGCTTATGTCATTCATTACTACTTTATAATAAAAGAGTTAATCAAAAATTTAGCTTTTTTATTTTAAACTTACACGTTGGGATTTTAATCTAAGATGATTATGAAGAAATAGATCTCTGCTTACATCTTAGAGATTTAAATTTTTTAAATTTAGCTTATTAGTTTAACATAGCTTACTAAATTTAAGTCTGTTCTGATTGCTAATGCACAATCATTTAAGCATTTTTTATTGGAGAGCGCTCAGTCTTTCCAATATAAGCTTTAGAAGAAGGACTGTCTTTAATTTATGCATTTTAAAGACTACCTCTTAAAAAGAATTAATTTTTAGGAGAGAGTGTTTATTATTAATGCTATTATTATATTACATTTACATCAAAATACTTTTATAAAATTTTTTTTTCTAATAGTTTTGCTTGACTGATTTATTAACCTAACTCAAATGAGTCAATAATTTATTATTTACTAGTTTAATCTGCTTCTAAAAATAAAGAATTATTATTTGGATAGTTACTATTGCTTGATTGTGAAATCATACCTCCATTAACTCCTTGTACTATTTCTTTATTCGAATTTTCATATTATCTAATTTAAGACTTTGATTTTCTTTTAAAATTTCGAAGGACTATTTTTTCATCAAAGCTACTATTTTAATTATTGTTATTTGGAATACTATTTTCATCTAATTTATTGTTTTGTTAAATAAAACATTATTTGTGTTAAGGAAAGTCTACCATAGATAAAGTTTTGGTAGGCTAATAATTTTTTATATCAGTATTACTCTAAAAATTATATAATTCATCCTATCTTTCCAAATTGTAACCTTAAGCCTTCTACTAATCATCAATCTTAATATCCTAATCGCATATATATACTGTACAGTCAATTGGCTAATTAAGGCTGTGAAAAACTTGAGGAGTATAGTAGTATTGCTGTAAAGCAACATTTTATTTATTTTGTGATAAATCATATTTTTTAACGCTTTCTTCATTCTTTATCACTGTTTTTTTCTTTTTACTTTTTTTTCTCTGTTTAGTATGAATTGAATATTTGATAAACTGATGAGACCCTTCTAGCTCTGAACAAAATAGGTCAAATAAATTATTATTTTCTTACTCCCAAGGTCCTATTTCTTTATTTTGTTTGAGATTTTCAATAAATAAGCCATCCTAAATGTATGAATTATTTAAAGCCTCGCTTATATTCTTACTAGATTATTTTGTAAGGCACTTCTAATATCCATCCATTTAGTAAAATATAAAGATATTTTAGAATGTAAATATATTGATATAAAGAATATAGATAAATTTTGATATTAATTAAAGAGATAGATTAATTTGTTTCTATATATTTATGAATGATTTGGATTGAGCGTTCATTACTCAATTTATTAATAAATATTAATTATTATCAATTTCTTTTAATAATCTATCAGTCATTTATATTCACAAGTTTTAATAAATTTTGATTTATATAAATTCTTTATAAAAAAATTTAACTAATCTTAAAAAATAATTCAATTTTTAGTGTAATGTAAATCTCTGTACAAAAAATATAAAATTAATGTTTAATTCTTTAAAATATTTCTTTTTAATACTTTTTAAAATCATTTAAAACCTTAATTAAGCTTGCTTTTTATTAATACTGACTTTGCATAATATAAATTAAAAATTCAGTTAATATAAAAATCAATCATGTGCTTATGAATAATGTAAATCTCATATTTTATTTTTACTGGTATTAAGAATAATAAGGCTTAATTGAAGATATGTTAAAAATTAATATACTGTAAGAGAGTTTAGAAAACTTCAGTTTAGATTACAAATATTTTTGGACTTCTTGTAATAAAATGTTAAGTGAATATTACTACCTTTGCTAGTTAAGTAAAAACTTAATATTTTACTGAATTTTAATTGTTAAATGTATAATTAATTAATCTTTTTTTCATAAACAATCTTAAGAATAAGATATTTTAATTTATTTAATAAAGTCTACTGCTTAACAGCTATATTAATTAGCAAAGAGAGTTATAAATAAAACTCATAAAAAACAATAAAATTAATAAAATATATTTTAAAAAAATGCAAGAAAGTAGCAACATAGCTGGCTCTCATAAGAATTAATCTTTAGTAAAAAAAAAACCATCTTATTTTGCTTTAAAAAAGATAATAATCCATTAAAACAAATTGTTATATATTTAGGATATTAGACAGGTGTAATAGATGATGTAAGAAAAATAAAGGACATATTCTAAATGCTTGATCGATTTCTTCAATAACAAGATCCAATACTTTAAAGAGCTAAAAGATAATAAATAAATAAATTTAATTGAAGCTATAGTATTGCAGTCTAGTCTTATTACATATCAGAAAAAAGACAAAATTTATAGTTATGGTATAAATTAAAAATAGATGAATATCTATTATCTAATCTTTTTTAAAATTATAGGTTAAGAGCCTGATGGGTTTTACATGATAGTTGAGGGTAAAGTTTCAGTACAATCTCCAAATTTAAATTTTGCTCAAGTTTAAGACGAATCACTTCCATTTTAAGAAACAATCTAGCTTTCTAATGGCTCACATTTTGGAGATTATGAAATAAATTAATAAAAATTAAGAGTTCACCAAATAATTTGCCTATCTAAGGTCTTAGTAGTTCTTTTTTTAGATAAAAAGCAATTTGTCTCAATTTTATGTAAGTTAAAAATTATCTTTTATTTTAAAAAAAGAGTAAACTAAAAAAATTTTTAATAAATTTTGTATTTATTTCCAGTAAATTTAATAATCTATAAATTAATTAATTAAGCTAAATTTAATTTAATTTAATTTATAATAAAAAAGCCAAGTATGAACAACAAAAACTAACAAATGGATCTAAAATGCTACAGAATTTTGATTTGTTCTAAAACTGAGTGTTTTAAAATTTGATTGAAATATTCTACACAATTAAATAAAAAGAGTTAATCAAGAATCAATATGTATTTAGGGAAGGAGAAAAGAGTGATGGTATTTACTTGATCATAAGTGGTGATTTTTGTGTATGTAAAGACAAAATTGTTTAATCTCCTCATAATTCTTCTGTTTTGGTTTGCAAAACATTCTAGGTATGAAAAATACATTGAAACTTACTTGATATTTCATATTTTAATAAAAAGTTACTTCGCTTAAAAGCTGGATAAATGTTTGGGGAAGAGGATACTTTTGAATAACAAAACAGATCATATGATGTACAGTGCTTATCGTAGCAGGGTACTCTTTGGATTATTTCATCAGAAGTAATTTTTTTATCTTTTTGAAAAAATTTTTTAAAGAGATAAATGTTTTTTTAAAGGTGTATAAAAACAGTTTACTTCAAAATGGAGACATAATCAGATATTTATATTAAACTGTAGGATAAAAATTAATTTATTATGAAGGTAAATTAAGAGATTTAATGGAAAAGTATGTTAGCTAGTGTAGCTAAATCTAAACTTACAAAACTCCAGAAAAAAAAGAATAAATTCTATCAGACAGAAAAATTAAAACGGAAGAGTCAAATCATTTTAAGGCTAACTTACCAATTAATAATTTGCAAGAAAAAAAAATTAACATTAAAGCTAAAAATTTATTTGAAAATAACATAGAAGATACTGTTAAAAAGATTATCAATTCAAAAAATTTGGAATTTTCAACCACTAAAATAACTAAAAGACCTTCTCCTGACCTTTCGTTATTAAAGAAAAATAAAAATAAATAGTCTCCACCATAAATATCTGGCTTAAATAATTACAACTATTCTGACGGTAAAAGTTTTTAAAAAAGATTCTCTTTTGGATCTTAAGAAGGTGATCAAGGTATTTTTGCTACAGAGGAAGAAGAAATAATTGAAAAAAATTTAAAATACTAACTTAATAAAGCATTTCAAATTCTAAATAATTCAGGATAAAGAAAAACTCATAAAGTAATTTATTGAAAATAAAAAATTTATTTATTCATCAAGTTTTTAAAACATTTATTTTTTTAATAAATAGTGTAACTTGAAAAGTGAATCTTCTAATAAAAAATATAATAAATAAAAAGCTATTTTATCAATTACAACATTTAATGATTTAAATTCTAGAATGAGTTTATTTTAAACTAAACCTGAAGATGAAACTGCTTAAAATAATAAAAATGAAATAGTTTCGCTTGCAAATATATAGTCAGATTCAGACGAAGAGGATAACAATGAATAAATAAATTAGATTGACTATTTAGATAATACTTTATAAAATGAATTAAATACTGAATAATTTAAAATTTAAATTTTGGATAAATTAGGAAACGAAAATAAAAATTTTTCAAAAGTAAAACAAAATACTAAAAGGGATACATTAATTTAAAATTAAAAATATTAAGCAAACACAGAAGATAAAATGTTAAATTTAGGGAATGAAAATAACCATTTAATATAAAATAATTAAAATGTTTAACAAGATAGATAAACACACAAAGAAAAAATATAATTAAATAGAAAGTCTAAATAAAAAACAGAAGGTAATCAAACAGATAAAAATTAAAAAAATGAAGAATATAAAAATATAATTGAAGAAATTGCTAAGTAATTAAAGCTAGAAACTGCAACAGTTCAAGAAGAGAGCAATAAATACTAACTACCTTATATTGCTCCTCTAAAATTTTATAATTTAATCTAAAATGACAGAGCTAAAAAGTTAGTTTAAAAAAGTGCTAACACATCTTATCAGAATAGTAGTAGAAATTCTTAAGAAAGGAATTTTGTTAATAGCTTACACCAATCTCCTGAGAGAAGTAAGCTTAATAAACTAAGTGATTATTCATAAATTCGCTCTTAAGAAAGAGCATGTAAAAGGAAAGAAGATGAACAATAAACAAAAATGTATGATTCAATTTATAACAATGATAAGCTAAAAAAAATAATACTTCATAACTACATTAGTAATACATAGTAGGGATAGTATAACGAAAAACAAAATAATTAAAAGGGGAATTTTCATGATCTTGTTGACTCTTAATAAAATTAGTTTGATAATAATCAAAAATAATAAATGGTTTATTTAAATAATATTTACAATCGAATAAAAGGCACATCAAATTAAGAAATTTAGTCGATGCTTACCAAAACAACAGACTTTTATAAAATGCAAACTAATCGAAGCACTACTGTTCAAAATACTGAGAGAACTAACAATCATCTTTCAATTAATAATACTAATTACTCTAAAAAAAATTAAAGTACAAATAATTCTCCTCATTTTCAAATTTCAGCATTCGATTAGACAATTAATGCTTAAATCAATTTAGAAAGTGTCTGTTAGAAAAACATTCAAAAAAAGCTGTAAAAAATAACAGGTAAGCTAAATTAAACTTAAACAAAAGTATTGTATATAAAACATCCAAATTCATTTTATATCCATTGAAAGTCTTAAAAATTACATAAATTTTCCATATGCTAAGTTATTTAAAATAAATTTATTTATTTAATAATAAATTATTAAAATGTTCAAATTTTATATAATAAGTCATGAAAATTAAATTGTAATATTATCTCTAAACTACATATTTAGCTTACTAAAACAAACTGGAATTAAAAACAAAAATATTCCCTTAACTATAACCAGTTTTTATTTTATATTTATGAAATAATTTAGAAGGTTTAGTATGAATAATTAATTTATTAAATCGATTATTCAATTATATTAATAAATTTTAAAATATTGTCTGCCAAATTCCAAATAAATTAAAATGAAAATTTTTTTAATTATGATTTAGTTTTTATGTTGATTATAATTTTTTAAGGAAAAATAATATGATTAAAACTAAATAAATATTTTTGATTACAATAAAAAATAATTAAATTTAATATTGATTATAATTAATACATACGAATGGGATATCAAAGTATTTATTAAATAAATAAATATTAGGCAATTAAATTTTGCTAAAAAACAAATTATTTAATTTAAGAAGTAAAGTTATTAAACTACTTTTGTATTGAATGAGGAATGCATAAATACTATGCAATTATCAATTTATTTATGTTAGGAATTTAATTTAATAAATTGGTTGTTTTTGTTATTAATATTATTGATTTTACAAAATTTTATTTATCTTTTCATATTTTTATTTAATTTGTAGGCTTGACAACTTTGTTATCTTAAAATCCATTATTTTAATCTAAATATTTATTGTCGTTGAGAGAGAACTTTCTGTGTTTACCATTGTGGTTATTTAAATTTTAATTAGCGTTATTGCTACTACGTATCATAGGATTTCCATTAATTTTATAAGGTTCTTCTAAAATGATTTAGTTTTATATGTTTTTTTAAGAAATCGGTATTTACATATTTGAGTTTCCACTCCCTAAATTATTGTATGATTTATATATCAGGTCAATTTCTTTGCGTTAAGTAAATGATTAATCAGCACCATTCATTGCATGACCATCTATTGAGTGGTATAAGGAAGGGTTATCGTATTTTTTGTCTTCATTTTAAAATTAAATTGAGTGATTAAAATGGCTGTTATTTACTGCATGGTGATTTTCATTATTTTATGTTGTTTCAAATTAAATTGCCTTTTTGAAGTTTATATAAAGAGGAAACTATTAATTCTACCAGTTGTGTCTTAAATACTCAGCACAAATATCAAGACCTTCTCCAGCATATGAAATTTAAGGACAAACTTCTATTATATCACTTTCTCTTGTTTCGTTAACTAATAAATATGTTTGTTAAATTATAATTTAAAAATAAATGATTAAAACTTTTACTTTCAAATTTTAGCCATCTTTTATGTAAATTAGAAAGTTTTTATATTGCATCTTAAGGAGAATATACACCTTTATTAAAGATTATGGGTGCAAACTCCTCTGCTTCGTGCACCATTACGAAATTTATATCATCAGTTAATTCAATAATATCTCCAATTTACTTCTCAAATATAAGAATGTTATTTTCTCCATTTTGCTATTAAACTAAATTTTCTTAGGGTGTTTCTTGTGTTAACTGTAAACACCTTTTCATGACTCTAAATCTTGATTTAAGTATATAAAATTTTATTTTGAAGATATATAAAAAATAAAAATACTTAGACTCAAACGCCTATTTTAAATCTACTCTATGTGAAAACTCTACCAAAAAATTAATAGAAATTAATGTGTTAAACAAAAAAGCAGGAGCATCATCTATATCCTTAGGTATTTGTGATTTATTATTGACCATTTTTTGCTTTAACAGCTTTTTAATAGAGTCAAATTCTATTTTTGATAAAATTTTATTTAATCAAAGGCATATTAGGTAAGTAAGCTAATAAATAAATACCTAGTAAAGAAGCTCTACCATTGATATTTGCGATTCTATAAAACTCAGATTCGTTCCTGTCTACTTATACAATTTTCTAATTAATAGCTTTCCTATTTTCACTAGCAATACCAATGAATAAGGGATCTAAAGGTTTTACTAAGAGGTTTTCAACACCAATAAAATGAATATATCTATATCCTTTTTCAACTCTATTGATAATTAGTTACATAAATAAATATCATAACATATTTTAAATTTTATTAATAAATTATTATACAATTTATTTAAATGCCTATTATGAATGAGCTAGAGAACAACGTCGCCTGTACCACAGGGAAATAAATGGCACTAAGTATCATTTTTTAAAATTAACTTTCCTTGCATGTCAGTGATAGGGTAAGAATTCTTTTAGTTGATTGATTGAAAGTAACATTAAAATCTTATTAAATAAATAGTTATTAAACTTTACTTAAAATATAAAGGTAACATCATACTCATTAAAGCCAAAATAATTACTTTTCTGCCATATATTTTTAATTAAAGAGCTATTCTAATAGTTTACTACTATATAAATCTAAAATGAAGATGATTGTTGGTTAGCTGAGTTTGCAAAGGCTTTTTATAAAAAACAAATAGGATTTTTTAACTTTAAAATTTGATTATAAATTAGCTATTTATTTTCTATTACATAGATTACTTTTTTTTTACTAAAATTGAATTTTCAAATTTTGAATCCCAAATTTCAAAATAATTCAAACTATTTGATTACCTATTTCCTTAAGTGTCCACAACTTTCTTCCAATTAATTCCATTATGCACTATGAAGATGGTAATCCTATATCAGTTGAGCTTTTAACGAGATCTTTATCATATCTAAGATTTCTTCCACCTGCCATAATCACTAAAGCAACTATTTAAATAAATTAAATATGCTATGCTTTATTTATATCATGAAAATAAATTACCTTATTTTTATCTAATTAATTTTAAACCAGTGCTATATAATCTTTCATAGTCTCCATATGGAATATCTTCAATATTTAAAACATTATCCACATGCTTAATTACATCTATATCTAAATCATCATTAATTTCTTCTGCCAATTAATTAGACTACTTAATGAAGTGATGGTAGAGCTAATTTGTATTTTCAAAAATATATTTTACGAATTAGACTTTTATTTATTTGTAAGCTTAATATTAATTAATTTTTAATTTTTTACTGAATCTACAACTTCCATTTCATGACTTATTGAATCTAAATATCTCAAATACTCATTTTTTTATTCTTATGTAGATAATTTGCTAATGTGGTTAAACAAATCATACTAACCCATAGAAAGAAGCCGTTGGATCATAATATTAAAGACTGGCGAAATATCTTTTTCTGCATATTTTGTTTAAAAAATAAGTTAATTCTACTTTATTAACATAAAAGCAAGTAAAATATTATATTGCGATAGATTAAAATAACATGGATATACCTTTGCAAACTGTATACGAATACTGCTCAAGTTTCTTATAAGTAGAGTTTCTATTAAAATCTAATTCACTTATTTCTTGCATATTAGAAATTTACTACTAATTTTATCCATTCATGGCACCACATATATTCTATCCCATGATTTGTTATTTACTTACTTAGTTATTTATGGCTAATACTATCTTATTTTTTAACTAACTAAATTTGCTTATATAATTTTTAACAATTTCAATTAAATTTTTTTGTATTAACAAAATTATAATTAATTTTTTGCTTTGAAAAAAATTGTTGTTGGGAAACTTATCAAAAACATGAATTAAGATTGAATTAAGACCTATATATATCTTAAATATAACATAATTTAAAACTATTTTACATATCTTTTTCTCTTTTTACCAAAGCTCTTAATATTTACCAATTAAAGTATTCAGTTAAAATTTTCTTACTTTCTTTTAACATAGAACTTAAAGATGAACAACCTGATATACTTAAAAAATTATTTCCTATAAAAAACTAAAAATCTTTTACGAAAATTAATATTTCGCTATAAAATCGACAAAATCATAAATAAATTTAAAAAATTTCTGAATATTTTATTTATTTATTTATATTTCCAAAAATTGTTGACTTGTATGAAAATACTTATTGTTTGCAATGTTATTTATTTATTTTAAACAAAAATATTTATAACTAAAGTAAATGATTGAAAGTAGAATAAATTTTAATTTGTGATAGATTATGCTAAGTAGTTAAGATTTTTTTTATATGCAACATAAATAAACTTATTAATTAACTAAATCATAGATAAATAGATTTGACATAAAATTGAGATTCTACTTTATTAATAGATTTTTATATATTATCGTAGCATTTTTAGTATGTGCTAATACTTTCGGCAAATTATTTGCTTTATTCGTATAAAAAGGATCTTGATTCTATTTCAGCATCTATTTTTTCTAATAAATCTTTCCAACTTTCCTTTAAGCAAAAGTTTAAATAGTAAGCATCGATCAAAACATCTACCCATTCACACAACTAGATAAAATATAATAATTAAAATGATTCTAAAAAACTTAATAATATTTTTGTTTACTTGCTCAAATGATGGAACATATTTATCTTCCTAAACAGGTAATATAGCGGCGTTTTATAAAAGAATAAGAATAACTTCTAAAAATTTAACCATTTCTTTTATAGGGTTTTTTCTAAGCTCTTTAATTAAATTGCTCTTAGTTCTATTTTATTCAATAAATTGAATAGCTATTAAACATAATATTTACTTTAAATAAAATAAAATACATAGAGGTAGTAATAAAAGCAGTAGCTAAACCAAATGAGGCCTTTATTTCTTCCTTAGCAATTATTTAATTTACGAAATTGCTATTTAAGCTTTTTTCATCAGAAGTAAAACTAAGGCTATTAAATTCATTTAAAACTATATTCAATAAGTAGACAATTGATTTTTCAGATAAATCTTTTTGCTTTTATGCGACAATTAGAGCAATCAAATCGCCTTTTGCTTTATTGTCTAATAAATTTATATGCTCATAAAGTGCTTCTTAGCCAATTTCGAAATCAAGTTATATTATACTTTTGCAAATTGTAAATCCATTCTGTATTTTTTTATTAACAGAGTTAGCTTTTAAAAGCCTATTAATGTCACTTAATTCCTAATAAAAATAAAACATTTTTTAGTTAAATTGAATGCTTGCTAAATAAGCATGAAAGCTTTATGTATTTTAAAATAATACTAAAAGTCAAATTTTCTTTTTTTGTAAATTACCTTAATCAAAGAATTTATATCCTACTATCCCTTATTCTAGATAACATTAATATCTTACTAAATTTCTACTTTTTACATAACAAATGGTGCACCATCGGTTATATTTGCTAATGCCTAAGCAAGTTGCAAAGCTATCTGTTAATAAAAAATGAAACTTTACTTAAAATGCTGTAGAAATTGTTTTAATCTTTACTTTTTGAGTTTATTCAGCCATTTATTGGTTATTTATTTTTCTTTAATTTTAACTTAATTAATTTTGATAATTTGTAAATCTTTTTTATTAATTATACAAATGACAGTAAATCATTATTAGCGAAAAAATTTTATAAATATTAAATTAAAATGTATCTTTAATTTAATCAAACGATTATAAAAAAAATGATATTATTTTTTTCATCAATTATAAATAAATAAAGACCAAAAGTCTGTTAAAAATGTTCAAAAATTTAAATATTTCAGCTTATCTCATCCATTTGATTTAAAAGGTGAAAAAGTAGTAGAATTAGATGTATTTCATCAAGGTAACTTAACCAAGAGTTCCTATATAAAAAATTCATCATTTATTCGCTATTAATTAAAAAGTTATCATAAATTTTTTCTAATTAAATTATTACTTGTAAACTCAAAAAATTAAGAAGTAAAAAAGTATTATTAAGATATTATTTTAGCATAGATAATCAAACACTATAGCAATTCAGTGAATTACACTAAAAGGAAATTATAAATATTAAAATAAAATGATACAATACTATTCTAGAGATTAAGTAAATGAAATTCTAGCTAAGAATAAAGAAGCAGCTAAATAAGAATTTGATAGTATTAAATATGTCGAAAATAAAAAAAAGCAACGCCTAACTCCAAAAGAACTAGAATAAATGCTACCTAAAGTGAAACCTAAAGAGCAAATATTTGAGGAAATGAAATAAAATTTTAAAAATTCATGGAAAAGTACTTTTTAATTATATTTATTCTATTTATCCATTAAATTAGTAAAAAAAATACAATTATTAAAAATTATTCTTGAATGTAACATTGATAGGTCCCGGATATATAAATGATGAGTTTAGTCATGTGCCTGTTTTGAAAGCTAATGTTTTAAATACTTGGTAGTATGACCGTATAAATTTGGCTGAAAGATCATATAAATATCCAAAAGGTTTATAAAAATTACTTAATCTTATTAATTTATTTCATATTCGCTAATTTATATTTAATATTATTTTTTATAATTTGTTTTTGATTAATAATTATAAAGGCTATAGAGGTTTCAAAGTTCCAGTTCATGGATCTAATTTTGGTGAAGCATCGAAAGATCACTTACCTGAAAAATTTTAAAAATATTTAGATGATTTCTCTTTGAAATATTAAGAGTTTAAGATGAGGCCATCTAAATATGGAAAATTACCAATCGATGAAAGAACTGAAACATTTTAAAATAGAAGAAAAGAACCTTTCAAATTAACTAATTCTAAATAAGCTAACAATTTTGGATATGATAAACACTCTACTTGGGAAACAGAATTAAAAACTATAACAGGTCCTAATAGGACAATTCTATCTACAAAATATTAAACTAAATCATCTTAAAATTGAGCTTTGTATACTTTAAAATATAAATAAAACTTTTATTGATATCAAATGTTGGAAAATAAATAAAAAATGTCTCCTTTACTTCTATTTCTTTTAAAAATTCATACAAATACTCATTTAAAAAATTATATTATACTTATTAAATATTCCCTTTAATAATATAACATAATAAATAAATATATTTAAGGTAATTTGTGAATATTTTTTCAAATCAAATAATAATCAAATATTATTTATTGCAAGTTAGAAAATTTAGATTTTTGTTTAATATTAATTGATTTTTTTTTATAATAAATTCATTTTAATTGTTTATAAATATAAATAAAAATATTAATTTAAATATTTATTCGAATCTTAATTCTTAATAAAAAATAAAGTTACTCTGAAATTTTAAATAAATATTATAAAGAATTAATAAATATCAAAAGTTAAATTATTAATTGAATATATTTTTTTGGTTTTGTTTGTTTGATATTTTTAAATTGTTTTTTATATTTTATTGTTTTTTCATTAATTCACTTAAAAATTAGTTTTAGCTTATATTTGATTGTTTCTTATATTTCAGTTTTTCCAAAAGCCAAATAGGATATCGATTATTGGATTTTTCTTTTTTTATTATTCTCCTTCCTATTTATTATTCTAATTTTCTTTCATCTTTTAAGCACTTTGTTCGTTTTTTTCTTAAATTAAATGATTTTATTCGTTAATCACTTTTTATCCTGCATATTACTTGTAATCTACATTTTGAAGCTGATAATTCATTTCCTATTACTAAATTTTTCCAACTCTATTACATTTACTTTCTTCTTCTTCTTCATCATCATTTTCTAAATTTCCATTTTAGTATTCTTGTTGTTATTCTATTTCTTTATTTACAACATCAACTTATTTCTCCTAAAAGATTTTATTTTATTCCAAATCGCTATTGTTATTATTTTGATTTAGGTTTGATCCATTATTGAGTTAATTATCTATTTGAATTGGTTCTTATTATTTTTCTTGCTATTTTGATTATTCAGAACTTATTTGCTATCCGTCTTAATTACCCTACTCTATATTTTCTATTTATTCATTTTATTTTAGAGCACTATGGTCATTTTAAATTTCTAAGCTTTAATCTTTTTAATCTGGGTTTAATTTATTATTAGAATTTTAAAGCAATAACTATTCTTCTTGAAACTTTTAAGGGCTAAACTAATTTACATTTAAATTCTAATCTTCTTATATATTTTTACTACTAGATTTTAGATAATTTTAAGATTATTAAACTGGTTATTTTAAATCAACACTTTTTATTAAATTGCCATCTTCATCGTCATGCTAATTTTTATTAGAGTTATTTGGAGATACACACGAAAATGGAATTACAGGGTTATCAATAATCATATTCTCTTCTTATTATTTATGTTTATAATCACTATTTAAATTATCTTAATCATTTTTATCTTTATCTTACTTTGAGGATGAAAATTTTTGTAAGTATGACGAATAACATTTTTCCATGTCATCGAGCTAAATATTTTATTTTAAATTATCATATAAATTTTAAGGATTGATTTAATTATGACTGATTTAATCATTTAGAGATTCATGAAAATTTTTATCTAAATTATTATCAAAATTATCTTTCTTTTAGTTTTAAATAATTTCATCAGATTGTTTTTTATTCCTCTCTTAAATTTTGCTGAAAATGTCTTCAATATCTTTTATACTATTTTCATCTTCATCATCTGATAAATTGAGAGGTTTATCCTATAGGGCTTAAATTTCTTTTTATTGCATTTCTATTTCCATACTTTGTTCTATATTATTTGATAATTTACTTTTAGGGACTTCTTACTTTTCATATGAAATTTTAATCACTTTTTTTCTTACATCTTTAATTAAATTTATTTCATCTTACTCTTCCTCCATAACTCCTTAATCATTTTCTTATTAATGCTTCTCATATTTTTAAAAATCTGAAAATGAGTCTTCATGCTCATCACTAGAATTAGATTTATTTTCAGATTCTGATTCCAATTATGAAGAAGAAACAGATTAAGATTTTATTCTGTAATTATTAAAAGATTTTCTTTATGCTTACATTTTATTTAGAAGGCTTTTTTACTTTGGCTTAGCAATCACTTTTTATATACCTATTTTAGAATTTTAATTCTAAATTCCTTGCTAAACTTTTGAGCTTGATTTTAAATTTTTTACTTCTACAATTTCAACATCACTTCCATCTGCAGCAGAAAGCTCTTCTTCTATAGTGATAGCTTTAGTTGTGTCTGGATTAGTTTCTGATTATTTAATTTTTTAGAAAAATTAGCATTAGCTGTAATGTTTTTCTAGATCTTACAATTTTCCTGTCCATTTACACTCTTCAGAAGCGCAGTTCATATCTAATTCATCAATTATCTGCTGAGGAATTAAATTTTTAAGTAAATTATCTTTTTTCTAAATAGTCTATCTACAGTTAGGACAAAATTTATGATTTACTTTCCATAATTGTATGCAATGCTTGCAAAATGTATGCCTAATATTAAATAAAGTTTAAACCTTTTATTCTAATTAGATATATATTTTGTTACCCACAAGCTATAATTACAGGTCTCCTAAATACTTCATGGCATATAGAACAAAATAAGTGTTTATTTATATTTTACTGATCCTTAAAATTTCTAATAAATTTTTTCATTTCTAATTATAATTTAAGACAGACAAATCAATCCTATTTTTTTATAAAATTTTTTGACAATTAAAATTTTTTTAAAGCATAAATTAATATTAATTATATAGAACTTTAAGCTTTAATTTACTTTCATATTTTAAGTTAGAATATAAATAAATACATACATACAATACTAATGAATATTTAAAGATAAAAACTATTTATTAATTTATTTTATTTTCAAAATTTAAATCATTCATTTTTTCTAAATATCACTTAATAATGCCATTCTAGCTGGATAATATATTTTAAGTAGATCGGCTAAGCGAAGATTAAAGCTTGAAAATAACTAAATCAAATGATTCTCATCCTTAGCTATCAAAACAAGATAATATCTAACATCATATGGTGTCATACCCTTTATAACAAAAATTAATTCAATTTATATAATTTTTCATGTAAAAAAAAGATAATTTTGCTTTCTTAAGATTATTTTGATTTTATATTGACTTAAAAAGCAAAAAACAAACTAAATAACTACTGATTGCTTCTTAAAATAAAACTTTTTATTTAAAATAAAAAATAATTACTTCATTCATAATTAGATCTCTCATATTTTATATACAGAAGAACTAAGTGTTAGATTTTCCATTAATCATCTTCTTTTCAATTAAAACTCCAACATTCTTCGTTATTATTAGACTTTCTAATCATAATAAATAGATAATGTTTAAGAATGCAGATAATTTTTCTTAAAATATAAAGATTAAAATACCTTTTTTTAGTTTATTTCCATTATAATTTAGTGAAATTAAATTGATTGCAACAATGATGATTAGAAAAGCAATGCAGTTAAATGTCTTTGATAAAATAATCTAAATATTTAAAGTTCCTTCTTTCAAAAAAAAACCACAAACTAGTAAAATATTCAATGAAACCCAAAATAAATTAAAAGAACTTGATATGTTATTATAAACTGTAAATTTGGTGAGAATTCCTTTTTTTTAATATATTTTAATCCTGTATTATCCTTAAAATTCTTTCTTTTCAGAATCATCCTTAGGCATCTACTTTCTTACTTCCTTTTTCTCTTTCATTTTAATATATTTAAAAGATACTTTCTTTGATTAAAATTCACTAAAATAATAAACTTCTCCTTTTAAATTCTTATAAAATCTGTAAATTATATTTAAAAATATTAAATTTAATAAATGCATAAAAAACATTGATTTATTTATTTATTCATTCATTCTTTATAAATGTATTTGTTGATAAATATTTAAATATGAAAAGATTATTTTTTTTAATTTCCACATAGTTTATGATGAAAATAATATTTATATATTTCTTTATATATATTAATATACTATTTATATAAATCTTTATAAGCTATTTAAAGCAGCTTAAGTCAAATAATATTCTAATTATATTTATAAATTTTTCAAATAAACCACCTTTTTTTTTTGATTTTTTAATATATAATGAATTTTTAATATAGGATTTTCTTAGGTGTAGAGCTAGCTAATTGTCTTCTAAAATTTATGTGTTTGCTTATAATTTCATTTACACTATTGCAAATTATCAATTGATTTTTTAGTTTGCTTATTATTGATAATAAAGCTAATGAGTCAATGTTTCAAATATAATAATTTTTTATTTTGCTAAATACAAATAATTATTTTTGAGATAAGCTATTTTTTAATTCAACAATCCTCATCTGCTTAAATGATTGTGCGCTGAGCCAATTAAATTGCTTGTTAAATTTAAATATTTGTCCAAGGCAATTTTATTTTTGAATTGGTTTGGATACAGTCTTCTAACTATGAAACAATGTTTTTGAAATTTTCAGATTTTATTTACGCCTTTACTTCATCTGGCTAGTTATCTTCGCTTTCTTTAGTTGACTCCCAGTAATAAGAAATATCAGATTAAGGTGTTGTCTATAATTTGAATGGGGCAATAGAATTGTTTTTTTTTTGAAGTTCTTTTTCGATTTGTTAATACTTTTTCTTTAGATTAGCTATCACTTTAGCAATTTTGCTCTTTCTTTCCTACTATATTTACTCTAGTATCAGGTTATCAATATAGTACTAAACTTTCTTTCTAAAGCTGTCCGACTTTAAGATCAATGAAATGTATGCTTGATTGAAACTTTTCTATCCAGGAGTATTTTCTTTAGTTTTTTATCCTTTTTTGATTTATCTTCATTTAAAAAGTTTATTTAAATTATAAAATATATGAGTAAACAAAATAATTATTGGATTGAATATTTTCAAAATAATTTATTTTTTAATGATCAATTTTAATTAATTTTAACAAATATAAAATGATTTTTTCAAAATTAAAATAAAATTTGAATTACTTTTAAGGATGATAGAAGTTTTTGAGTGGGATTTAATGCTCTTGGGCAGTTTTTCCAAAATAATCTTCATAAAACTTCAGATTATCTTTATCCTTACTTGAAATTCTGGATTTGTTAATACGTTCGCGGAAATATTGATTTTCAACATATTTGAAAGACTTTTTAAAAATCATTTTTTGCATTTCTTCTACTCTTTTTTGCTTCTTTTTATTTTTTTAGCTATTTGAGTGAGAGCAAGCTTGGTTAGATTTAAAACTATTTTGTTTTTATTTTTTTTAGGAAATAGCCTTTTAATTAGGTAAATTTTGATGATAATTATTTTCAAAAACATTGTACTAAATAGGCTAATCACTTTGCAGCTAAAATGAAGCAAATTAGCTCTTATTTTATTCAATTTCCATGTCCAAATTAAGTAAATCTTCAGAGAAATTTTCTTGGTTGCTAATATCTTCTTTATCTAACTTCATGAATGCAGGATTAGGAGTGATTGATTCTTGCTAAGATTAGCATTAGCTTTTCATGCTTTAGAATATTGCTCTTTCTTCGTCATTTAATTGTGATATTTGATCTTCTGGGATATCAACATTTTAGAACAGTTAATCTATCAATTTATTTAAAAATGTACTCTGGTTTCCAGTTTTTACTTTTTCTTTCTAATTAGTGTCAATCTTATCTTGTTATGACTAAATTTAAGCATCTGTAGATTAATCTGAGTACTTTTAATGCTCTGAATAATCATCTATCTAGCTTTTAGCTTAAATTTAATCAGATTTTATAAACGAATCAGCTTAGTTGTATTGCATCAAATGTAAATTGGATTAGTTTTGAAATTATTGCTCATATCCATACAGTTTTATGTTGTTTGAATATGGCATGGTTTAAAATTAGCTTTGAATACCTTACTAGTTTGAATGCTATAAATATTGCTGTTAATTATGATCAAAAAAATCAAGTTATTCACAATAATCAGGGTTTGGAGTAGGAGTTTCAAGGGCTGATCCACATAAATTATCATCATGACCATTAAAAAATGAGTCTTCGCATTTATTTTGCATGATTTCATGATCAATAAAATCGTCAAGCTAAGAATTTTGATAAGGATATTACTGACACCTTATTGACGAAGACATTTTAGTTCAAAGTTGTATTCTTTTGTTTGATTTGGAAAGTTGTGTTTCTTAGATCAAAAATAGCTGCTATAATTTATTTTTCTTCTTATTACTAATTAAATTAATCAAAATCTCAGCTTTTTAGTGATTTCTATGACTACCTAATCAAAAAAATCGAGATAGGAATCAAATTTTTGTAAATTTTAGAATATACAATATTTGCAACCTATAGAAATTCATCAAACAAAAATAGATTGAAAATGGGTTTTTCAAAAGCACTTTTATTGTATTGTATTGAATTAGATTTGGTATGTTTGATTTTCTTTTAAAATGAAAAGTTGTTTTGCAATGATTAATAAAATTGTCATAATAAACCTTCAGTTAATAATATTCCGAATGAAATAGATTTCCTACATGTTTCCTTTTATATTTAAAATATTTGATTTATTTAACAAATAATTTTTTTAAGTTTATTAAAAAAAATAAAAAATAAAACAGTGCCAATACAAGAAATTAATTTTTTGATTCTACTCTTTGACAAAGTGAAAATCTTAAAATTGACAAATTTCTGTTTAAATTTTTATCTCCTAAATTATCTCTTTAATGTGTTTTTATAAATTAGTTAATGTCTCCTAAATCATTTAAATATCATTCATCTTTTTGCATAGTAAAATTTAAAAAAACCTTAAATCTTAAAAAAATAACTTAAAGCAATCACTTCGTTATTAAAATTATGTCAAAGAGCTATTTATTATTAATAAAATATATTTTGAAAAGACTAACTAAGAGAATATTTATTATTAATTTAAATAAAACATAAAATTAACATTAGAAATATTCATTTTATTTAAAATTAATTTTTTTAAAGTAATATAATAAACAATAATAGAAAAGAGAATGATATTTTATTATTTATTTAAAATTAAAATTCATATAAAAACTTGGATTTTTAACAAATATTTATTGTATAAGATAAAATAGCTTTGTAAATGTTAAAAACAGCTATTTTGGAAATCAAATTTTTAATTGTTGGAAGAGTAGTCTGAAAGAGTTGTTTGAATGAATAAGTTTGTAATTTTAATTTTGATTAAATAATAAAAAAGATACATATATATTTATAATAATATTATTAAGCTACACAAGAGAATACAAAAAAAATCAATAAAATTCTTTTGTTTTGTAAATTAAATTTCTTTCTTTTAAGAAAAATAAGCTAAATTTTTGTAAATATTAACAAAGCAATAATAACATATATATATAGTATTTATAAGGACTTATTAGCAAGCAAAAAGTATTTTTCAGAATAAGAAATAAATAATAGCCACAAAAGCAAAGGAAGCCAGACGTGACTAAGAACAAAAAAGAATGGAAATTATAGATCTTATATTATGTGTAGTATACTCAGGGATATTCTTGATCGCTATGCAGTTAGAAAAGAAATTGAAATGTATTCATATCTAAATATAGTTAGAATAGATTAAACATATAGATAATGGATGTAATTACTTAAAATAATAGATATTTTACCTACGACAAAGCGGAACCAGAAAATTCAAAGTCTCTCTGCAGCTTAGATATAATAAACTAAAGAGGATCAATTTGTCAGAAATTAACATAAAATGCAATTAAGAATTTTATTAGTAACATCTGCCTGCATTCTTTTGTCATGGCATAACTACAATTATAAATGCAAAAATTAAACGTTAACTGAATGTTTTAATTTCCCAATCGGGTACTAGGCTTTTAAGACTACAATTCATGCAATGATTTTAAATTTTACAGTATTTGTTGGACCGTTCTACCAAGACTACATGGTAATAATGAGTCTTTTTTAAGTTAAAATAGCTAGACAATATGCAGATTATTTAAAAATATATTATAAATGTCTATGATATTAATATTCAAGCTTTTTTTTATCAAACATAGAGCTCTAAAATCAAAATAAAATTTAAAGATATGGATTTTAATAGGTTTAGATGGGATGAATTCAAGAGATTAGTAATGGTAGATTTATTTTATTTTAGAATTAAATGTGTAGCTTATGTCGTTTATTTTAAAAAAGGGACCTGTAATTGAAGAATGGGTGTTTAGAAACTTAATAAATAACCTAATTAATAAAGATTTTAACAACAATATGATATTTGTATTTGTTTCTGGCGTTATCTATGCTTTAGGTAAATTTATTTATCAATTACAATAGTTATTCTTCCTTCCAAATGCATTAAAAATTAGGCTTTTTATTTTTACGTTTTACAAAATAAAATCTAGATATATTTAGTTAAGTGTATCTTACAAATACAATTGTATTTTTTATTTTGAATTCATCATTACTTACATATATTTAGCTAACAAAAGCATGTTAGTTAGTTAGTTAAAAAACGTTTCGATTGAAATATTAACTGCAATTTAATAAATAATAGTTCATCTCCATAACTATAAAAGATTCAAGAAGAGATTAGAACCTTAGAAGGCTGTACTTGCAATAGGTAAAATTATTAAATTAAAGATGAGTTTGGTTAGTGGAAAATAAACTATATTTAATTTTTTATAAAAGTAAGTATATCTAATAGTGCGCCAAGTCTGACGCACTAAGTCTTTAATTTTCGATTCATTCATTAATTTTAAAAGATGATTGATTGATTGATTAATTGATTGATTGATTTGAAATTTAATATCATTAGCTAGCTATTTTTTTAAATAATTAGTTATTCAAGTTATTGTGACATTTATTTTTGGTGCATATATGGCCTTTCTTTTTACAAAAATATAAGCTATTGGCTCTTGTTTTATTATTCACGGATATTGCAAGTTCATGGGAATACCAAACGTTGTTGAACTGTTTAGATTGAAGTAAGATGATCCAATTACAAAAAGTAAAAATTAAACAAAGTATTTTTATTATCAAATAAATATTTTCCTAAAAAATGAATATTTTAGAAATACTATTATTTTATGCAGGAGGAGTTGCTGGTTTTATTATTGAATGTGCTCTTCTTATAGAATGAAATAAGTAAAATAATTTTTTAATCGATCAAGTAATTGATACATAACTAAACACCAAACTAAAAAATGTGATAAATATTTTAAATTAAATTTAAAAAATAGATAAATTATTTATAATTAAATAAACTAATTGATTGATAGATAGATATCTTTGTCTTTTTATAAAATAAACAAATAAATAACCTAGTTAATTAAATAATAAAATAAATAAAACTAATTTTATTTGCATATATTTAACAATTAAATAAACCATGTAATTTTCATTTATTTTATTTCTGTGTTGTTTTTGCCTCATTACACAAGTTTATCTTCATCCTATCAATACTACAATTTTAAATTTATATTAAAGTTCTTTTTTATTTTTATTAATTATTTTACTTTTTGATATTTAATTCAGATATCATAAGCATAAATAAATAAATATGCTTATTATTTTAATTTATAATTTAATTACTCTTTTTATTATGAAATGGTAGTCTTAGTGTAATCTTAGATTTTTGATACTATCAAATTTTTTAGCAAAAAAACTAAAAGTTAGGTTGAAAAACTTTAAACTCTTACATTTTAAATTACAAGTGTTTTTTTGTATTATTTAATGAAGATATTATCAAAATAAAGGATTTGCATGTAATTTAAGTTAATATGTTTATTTAATTAGATTTAAGTATCATAAAATAGTCTTTTGATAAACATTTGATACTTAATACAGAAATTCTAAACATAAATCAATTGATATGCTTATTATTTTAATTTATATTTTAATTACTAGTCTTAATGTAATCTTAGATTTTTGATACTATTAAATTTTTTGGTTGAAATACTTTAAACTCTTACATTTTAAATTACAAGGGTTTTTTTGTATTATTTAATGAAGATATTATCAAAATAAAGGATTTGCATGTAATTTAAGTTAATATGTTTATTTAATTAGATTTAAGTATAATAAAATAGTCTTTTGATAAACTTATCAATTATTATGAATTTCAAGTAAAAAAAATTACTAACTTTTTGAGTTTTTCAAGGATTAGCTATTTTAAAAGCAATAATAAAATAAAGGAATCAACTGCAAAATTAATAACTCATATGTCCATAATTCATTCACTTATTTATTGCTTCATTTATTGATTGTTTTTAAAATAATTATTTTGATTTCAAATATTGTTTTGAAAACAACATTTAAAAAAATACTTAAATACAGTTATTAACAATTTTTATTTACAAATTATTGATAAGTTCATATATATTATTTACTTTTTTGTATTTAATAATAATAATCAATTTGAGAAGAGAGTAGATCTAGTTTTGCTGTTAAATTCAATTTTTGAATTTTTGTATGTAATAAATTGACAAACTGAAAAAAAAGTTAAAAAAAAATTAGATAAGAAATATCAAGGATATTGGTTAAAGAAAATTTAATATTCAAACAATATTTATTTATTTATCTTTGACTAAGAAATTAATTAATTAAACACACCAATTAGTTAATTAATTTAATAACAAACAAAGACAACGATCATATTAATAAAAAATATATATACATACAATGGTCAGTGTTTAAAAAATCGTTTAATATTATAGTCAATTCTTTCAGAGTGTAGTTTATGAATAAGTCAAGCACAGTGATAAAATTATGACTGAATGGTAGTATTTTAGCTAGCTTATGTCGAAAGAACCCTTAGACTATAATCGCATTCAAACCTACCTTGATATAATCAGTTTAAATAAAAACAAATAAGACCATTCGCTCAAAAAAAAATAAACAAACACTCCTAACTCTTTTATTAATATTTAAAATTAGAATTCTTAAAATTAATTTAAACTCAAACTAAATACTGAGGAGAATATAGATACTGATTTTGATGAAAATGATAATTCTCCTTCTTCGAGATCCAGCTGTTCCGAAAATAATAGGGAGAGACAAATATTAGTATTTAAAAATGATGATGATGATGAAAGTGAAAATAATTAAGATGATGATGGGGAACTGCCTAATTAATAAAATTAAAATTTCTTTTAGTAATTAGAAGGAGGAGAAGAAGAAATAGATTAAGATAATATTATGATAATAGAGCGTAAGTGCTTTGATGATGAGTTAAATAATTTTTAACAAAATCCAATTTACACATCAACATCTCCTACTGTATAGAAATCAAGCGAAAAAGATGACTACAAGAAAGGTAGTTAATCAAAAATAAATTAAGTTGGAATGGTACTGACTCCGAATACATCTAAAAATATCTAATAATAGAAATTTAGCTTTTATTCAAATGACTAATCTCTTAAAACACATGAAAGTAGCAATAGTCCAATATTAAAAGAAGTGACATCTAATTTTTAAAATATAAAAACAACTCCTCATTATAACAAGAGCTCACAAAGCAACTAAAATCATAATGGTCTAGGTAAATAACTTGCAAATAATCATACTTCTTAATTTACTTAAAATACAGTAAGCTCTGCAAATAATAATTAAAACAATGAAAATATTTATATTTCTTAAAATGATGTTTCTAAAAATTATAACATAAATTTCAAAATAAGTCCACAATTAAGTAAAGAAAACTCTAATTAATAGTCTGGTATTAGCTCTACAGATATCTAAAAGCAGTAACAATAATAACAATTTAGCTCCAGTTTATCAACTAAAAATAATAAAATGTTAACCCCGTCTCTTTCACACTTCTCAATTACAAACAAGTCTTTAAAAAATATTCTATAAGAGACTACTCAGCACACTAAATCTCTTGAATAAAATATTGAAATGATGGAAGCCTAACCTAATAATCAATATTGTGTAATAGCAACTCCTTAAGCTACTGAATAAGGTAGTGGATATAAAAAGAAAAATCAATCTAAGCAATTTAATTATAACAATAATAAGATTGTAAATCAAAATCAAACAATAAACAAAGTAGAAAGTAAGCATTTAAAAACTCAACCAAGTCCTTCACCTGCTATGTTCAACATTCAGCCTCCTGTATAACCTGTATGCCACACTTCGAACAGCTAAAGTTCTTTAAAAGATTTTACTATTTAAGACTTTGAAAACAAAGAACAATAATTTTAATAAGTCAGCTAAAATTAAGAGGTAAATAACTATAAAAATTTCCTATTTAATATATTTAAAAATCATTCTTAAATGTTTTTTTTTTAAAAAAAGCAATTTGAATCTGTGTCAGAAAGAAAAAGCTTAATAAAAATTGTTCATAATAAAATTCCTTTCTAAGAAAGCGTAAACTAGCCTTTGTTGAGTATCAAGCCTCCCTTTACTCCAACAGTAAATTAAATTAAATATATTTTATCAAGTAAATTTAGAATTAAATATTCATTATTTAATATATAATCAGGAAGATAATAAAATGAAGAGAGAGTTTAATAACTTATATTTAAGAAAGTAGATTGCAGACATTGTCACCTTTTTTGAGGGAAACAGTAAAAAAATAGATGAAGTTGTTGAAAAAATTCAAAATAATTAATAGTAATAATAATAAGGAATTTTGCAATACCAGCAAAATTTCAACAATAATTAACTTGGATTAGCTGGTGGTTAGCAATTTCATAGGTTGGGACTTTCATCTAACCAGATGACTCCTTAATCAATCAACCCTCATAACTTTGCTTAGCTACCTTCTCATAACTTCTAGCCTTTCCCCTAAGTTTCTAAGTAAGCAAGCTAAATCTAATTATTCTTTTAACCAACTCCTCCACCTGCACCTGCACCACCTCACTCTGCCCATTCAATTTAAAATTAACAACAATAATAAATTTAATAGCTTTATGGATATTAACAAAACTAACCACATTAATAAATTAATTAAGCCTTTTAGTAATATTAATAAAGATCTACATCTTAACATAATGGCGTCTCTAACCTATATCCATAACAACCAATATATCCTGCTAATTTTATTTAATAAAACAACCAACAAATGCAATAATAATAATAATAATAATACAACAATATTGCTTAAATTAGTAGATAGAACATATACTAACCACCTTTAATTCCAATCAAGCAGGCATCTTGTCCCAGAGGGTCTTCTGAAAATAATGGAGGAGGAAGATCTTTGAGCACCTATAGCAGAGATACATCAGATGGCTAAGTAAAAACTATGTTTAAGAGAATGAGAACATACGATATTTGTACAAATACTTAAAACTCTTCTCAAATTCCCTCAAGTGTTCAACAATAAAAAAATTTAAACCGTACGATGGATGAAAACATCAATAACTCTAACAACGTATCGTGCATGAATTTAAATACCAGTAAGTTAAATGCAAACAACTAAACAGGTTTATCAAATGCGAATAATGTTAGCTGTAATCTAAATTACTCAAATAATGAAAATAATAGATATCTTACTAACAGCACTAATTAATTAGCATAAACAAACCAAAACTCTTCACAAGAATTACAACAGAGAAAAAGAAGTGAGTATTCGTTTCCAGATTTAAAGAGTTTTAACAAATATATCAAGAAATGAAAAATCAATCAATATTTTAATTAATTGATGAATTTAAAATAAAATAAATTTTATCTTTTATTTATCATTTAGCTTTCTAAAAATAGCTTTTATTTTTTGATTTTTAAGTAATTAAGTAAATAAATTAGCTAAGTAATAAGTTTATCTTTTAATGTACATATTATATTAATTTATATCAATATTACTATTAAGTAATAATCCTACATATATTGTCTAAATATATTTTATAATCAATTACAATTCAAAATAATAATTCAGAATGAATATATGGCAGATAGATTTTTATTTTTAAAATTAAGTAAATAAGAAATCAGATATTTTAGTTCTAAGCATATTTTTTATTTTATTTTTATTTAAATTATTAATAATAATAAAATAAATAAATATTATTGTTAATAGTTTTATAAATGATAATCAATCATATTTAGATTTTGTTAGCTATTAAAATTGAATCAAATATTATATACAATCAATCACATATTAATAAATAAATAAAATAAAATAATCGTTAAAATTTAGAAATATATTCAAATAGTTTGCATATAATTTAAATTCCTAAAGTAAAGTGAATAATAATTATACTTCTAAATATTTTATGAAAGTTATTTCACACAAAATTTTAATAAACAACTTCAAAAATTATTGATTATTAATGGAAAAAAATTAGAAATTATTTCTTGGAAATCTAACATTAAAGTAAAATTCATTAAAAATTAAATATATTTAGTGATTATTTTAAAATTTTATAAGTTAAATATGTTTATATAAAAAATTTAGAAAACAAAGATAACCAACCTTTAATAGATCAAGATTGAGGATTTTTTAATTTTATTAAATAAATATTCTTTTATTGCACATAAATTATCATACCATAATTTAGCTTTAAATATATATTTTTTATATGCAGAGATATCTCTTTCAATCTTTTTATAAATTCAATAATTAAATAAAATTAAATAAAGTATTCAATAAAATTGAGTAATATATTCAAATAATTTGAATATAATTCAAATTCCTAAAGTTAAGTGAATAATTATACTACAATTATTTTAAGAAGGTTAAATCACACAAAAGTTAAATAAAAAACTTCAAAAATTATTGATTATTAATGGAAAAAAATTAGGAATTATTTCTTGTATTAGCTTTTTAGTAAAATTCATTAAAATATAAAATATATTTAGTGATAATTTTAAAATTTTATAAGTTGAATAAGTTTAAATAAAAAATTTAGAAAACTAAGATAACCAACCTTTACCAACTAGATCAAGATTGAGGATTTTATAAATTTTATTTAATTAATATTCTTTTAAAACACAAAAATTATCATACCATAATTTAACTATTGATATATATTTTTAAATATGCAGAGATAGCTCATTCTATTCTTTAATAAGTTAATTCAATAATTAATTTTAATTAAAATCAATATAAATAAGTTAATAAAGTTACTCTTTTATGTTTATTATTTACAAATGGTTTATAAAGCAAATTTTTAATTTTATTAAGTTAGATCATCAAAAAATATCTTACAAGGATAGGTCATTCTTTTTATCAAGGTAATCTATAATAAAAGTTTTATACATGTTTTTATAGTTGTTTGTTATAGGTTTTCTATTTGAGTTCTGGCTTACGTTTTTAGGATTTTTATATAAAGAATTATTATAAACTCTATTTCTAATATTATCTTCATTTCTTTAAGTTCTTGATTATCTGACTTTTTCCAATTTTGAATCTATATCAACATCTATTTTTTACTTTTTTAAATAATCTATTTTTTTTTCTAATGGCACTCTATACTTAAATGGATTTGTAAAATCTCTAAGTTTGCTTGCGAGATCTATTTTCTTTTTATGTAAAATATAAATTAACAAGATAGTTTGGTAATTAAGAAATTTATTACTCCTAGCTTTTTAATTTCATAAATGGCTTTGGTTTATCTGAACATCATTTTATCTATTCTTTTTTTAGCCAACTTACTTAACTCCATTTCGTCAATCTTTACTGCAACTATTTTTAAAGTGTAATTTATTTTTAAATTTTAACTTTTGATTACTAATTTACATTTTGGTGATTAAATTTAGATGTAAAATTCATCCCCGATAATTAATTTTTACAGCAATTCTTTTGGATCACAATTATCAAAATATAATTAATTGCAATCATTTACATTAATTCTTGGAGTCTTACCTTATATGTAATTAGTTTAATTTATATTACCATACTAAGGCATCTCCTCAATAGTTAAAATAGGAATCTTCAAATATGCTAAAAGTAGACTTGTAACATCTGTAAAAGTAAATTATAGAGTCTTAAAAAAAGTATTTAGATTTTCTTCAGAAAATTATTTTGTAGGAGATTGGTCATCTTCGTATTCGCAGTTCATGAATCTAATTATAATGAAAATATTGCAATCATTTACAAATTAATAAAATAATCTACCTTTCATGATAGTATTATGCCTTCATGATATTTCCTTGAAAGTAGTAATTTCTTCCAAACTCATCGTAAATTTCCAACTCAATGTCATTTTCTTTGGAGTACCATGCATACTGAAGAGCTTTCTTCAATATTATTATTGCTTCCTAGTAAAAATTAATTTATCTAGCGCATTTAGCAAGCTGAAGAAGAGATTTAGCCTTTTTTGAATAGTTTTTTGTATATGTAGACAAATTTCTAAATTAATCATATAGAAAAACAGCTGATTTGATATCTTGCATTTCAAGAGCTAAATCAGCCATAAATTCTGAAATTGTACAAAATAGCTTTAAGTCATTTATATCAACTGCTTTACTAATCAATTCCTTTAAATCTTTAACAAATAAAATTTTTAGTAAGCAAAATATTTATTTTAATAAAATTTTTTCAAAAACAAATTATTTATTTTTAAAAAAATATTTAATTTACGTGGAAATGTGTTTTTAAAGTTGTCTTCATCTATGTCCTTGATAATTTGATCTATTTTCATTTGTATTTCTTAATTTTAGCAATTTATTTCATCTAAAATGGCTTCACATTTAACTAAAAATATTAATAAAAAATTTAGTAAAATTCTTATATTTATTGAATTAAAATTATTTATTTTTACATGCTTTGCGACCAAATCTTTTCTTTAGTATAGATTAATTATTGGTGGATGCGGTTTGAGGGCTATTATTCTGTAGGTTTATGGAAATCTCATAGTTTTAACCGATACTACCTCTTTTGCTATTATTTGAAGTCACACTTTTTCTATCAGCTCTTTTTTAATGCAGATATTTTGAAGTAACATTGCTGGATTCTCCATTTGAAAATTAAGTTTGATGAAATACAGACAAAAATGTATTATCGAGATCATACTAATTCCTAATTTCATTATGTTTTTTACTTTATGTAGAATTAAACTAAGAAGCTTAAGCAGACGGTCTCAAGCCTTTTCTTTAAAATCTACTTCTTACTGATGCATTATTTGTACTAGGTCTATTTAAAGAAAAATCATTTTTATCAGATATAAAGCTTGTACTAAACTCATTAGGATGCATAATTACCTCAACAGAATTATTTTAAGGAGATTATAAAAATCCTTTACTATCTCCAAATCTAAAATATTACTATCTCATACCTAACTGGGTAGTTTAAGGTCTAGTGCTTGCTGTTTATGTTCTATCAAGAGATTCAGAGTTTTATTTCAAATATATAACTTTATTTGGTTTACTAGATTAGAATGGCATCTGAGGAGGAAATTGAAAAACAGATTTTTTTTCATCTTAGTTATTTTACATCTATCCTGCAAACGATATTTTTCTCGCCCTAGATTTACTATTATCTTTCGACAAAGAATTAGTACTTAATCCTGCATTTTAATTTAATAACACTTTCAAATTTGATCGCTTTTTTGTTTATGACATTAGACTTAACTAATTACTGACCTATCCAGAAATTTTATTATGAGCATAGTTTCCATTTTTTCTTCTATATTCTTACTTAGAATGCTAATGAAATGAGCTGAATGCATCATTTTCATTTTAAAATGAAGAATTATTTAGATCTTGCAAAATCACACTTCTATTAGCTCTTTCCTTTTATTCGAAATCAATACCTTATTCAATTTCACTATTTTCATTCATGCTGAAAGATTGGCCTGTTGGATCATAATTCAAAGATTTAGCATACATCAGTTTTTAATAATTATTTTATGTCCCTCTCTGCTGAGTACTTTTATTAATTTAAATGTGATCAGATACCATTTTATTTAGAGTAAGAGGCTTTTAAAATTCTATTTTATCTTAATTAACATGTCTTAATTGAGGAGATAAACTGACTACACTATTTGCTTCCTTAGAAAAAGAATCAAAATAATTATTATTCATCTTAGTAACAGTTTAAGGAATAATTAATTATTTAATTAGTTCTTGCAATTTATATTTAATAAATACTAATTTACTCAATACTATAAAAATTACCTCTGTAAACAACAATTATTATTGTTAAGTATCTAGTAAAATTGTTAATAACTATCAAATCAGCTCTTAAGTATTTACATATCTGATTTGTTTCATTAAAAAAATTCAGATTTTAATGGATATAAATTAATAATTAAACAAAATTGTTAATAAATGAATAAATATTATATATCTACTAATAACCAAAATAAAAAATATTTCAATCTTTCAAATCTCTCATTACTTTAAATAAAACTTACCCAAGTATTTATTTTTTTTTCATAAATCAAATTATTAATTGATTTGATAATTAATTTATTTCTCATAATATTATTAAAAAATTAGAAAATAATTTCAAAACTAACTATTTTCAATATTTAAGTTAGATAGTTTTAATAAAAATAAATTTTGATAAAAGTAATAAACAATTTAACTTTTAAATCAACTAAATATCTTTAAAAGGCTAAACTATTTATTTAATTAATTAAGGAAATTATAAACAATATAATTAACTAATACTATAATTTTAATCATATAAAAAAACTAGTTATTATAGTTGTTACTACTTATAATCATGAATATTTAATTGAAATTAAATAAATAAATAAGTTTTGATATTTTTGAGAAAAAACAATTTGAAAAGAAATAATTTATATTTATTATACACGAAGTCAGTTTCTAAGTGGTTTGTTTGTTTATAAATATATAGAATATTTTAAATAAATATTATTTTTAAATTGTTTGCAAATTAAAATTAAAATTGGTTGTTTTTTTAATTAGTTTGAAATATTTGAATCAAATGTTCACTTCATTCTTAAAGAACATTGAAAACTTCTCTAAAAAATTATATTCAGGATGTCTTTGAATTAAATATTATGAATCTATAACTAACTAGCCATCAGTCTCTTTAGTAAAATTATTCATTCTAGATAATATGGTATTTTCTCCTTGCTGATCATTACTACCTTAACAAGATAATTCTTCTGAGATGGTTTTTTGAGTACATTTTTATGATTAATATTTTTCACTATTTTGTATGCCTCCAACGTCTTAGCTTATCAAATTTTTTTATGATTGAGTTGAAATGCATGATTTATTATCTTCTTGGCTATCATTTTCTTTGTTGTTAATCGTTTTTTTGATAAATTGTCTTGATTTTTAATAATAATTATTTTAGTTTAACATTGGATTATCTTCAGAATTAATTTAGTTTACTAATTTTTCTTCATCTTCACTTTCAACTTCTATGTCATTTCTTGCTATTTTCTATATTTATCTTATTTCGAAATTTTAAGAAATATTTTTTTTAGGAATATCAATTTAATTAATTGGTGTTTTGTCAATGATAAGCTTATTATATTATTTATTTGTTAAGCTATTTTACTACTTTTGTAATCCCGAGAGAGAAGTTTACTTTTGTAAGTTATTTACAATTAATTTGTTTGATTTAAATTAATTTAAATTCAATAAATCGTTATTGTTTTCAAAATTATTTTCTTCTTCGTAAATCTGTTAATTATTATCAGAATCTAATTCAGATTTTTAGTTATTATTCTTTATTTATTTATTATTATCACTCGAAGTATTTTCTTTTCTATTTGAGTTAGTGTCCTCTTACTACTGTTCTTATATTTTCCCTACTGTTAAGAAATTGAGATCATCTTCATCAGAGAAATAGTTACTTTCCTCATAGTACTCATAGTATGGTCTTTTATATTCACTTTTCTTTTAAAAAAATTGAAAAAATTGAATGGTTTTCTAATAAAATTTACTTTCTTTAAAATATTGCTTGACTGAGTGTTCTGAGAATTCGAATTTGAAGGAGGTTTAAAAGGTTTTACAACATTAGAATTTTTATTAAAAATATTTTTGCTAAAAATATCATTATTGGTAAGGGATAATTCTTGTGAATCTACATTTTTATCACTCATTTTACTCCTATTGAAGTTCAGTGAGTTACTGTTTGCGTCTTCCAATAAGAAAAAATTTCTTTCAGAACCTTATTTTTGATCTACAGAACTTGATTTGTTGACACTATTTTTAGTTCCAACTTTTAAGAAGGCGTTTAATTGAGTTTATTTGGCTATTTTTAAGTATAATTTTAAACTATTGATTAAAAAAATTTCAAATATTTTATACTGGAAGTAGCTGAATCTGATAGAGAAGTTTGTTGTCTCTTTTAAAGTTTCTGATTGTTTTATAGTGATTAGAGACCACCTGTTCCGAGCTTAACTTGATTGCCTTTACTATTATCTATTCCAAAAAGCTTACTTTTTACTTCTTTATAAGGCATTAAAGTTTCTGGATCTATCATATACTTTGAAACCTGTAATGCTACACTCAAGTCCATGCTAAATAAATAAATATAAAATACATTTAGTCAATTAAAATGCACTAATTTTTATGTTTCCTTACTCTCCTAAGAAAGACCAGCTGAAATTTGGCTCCAAAATTTTATAAATCAAAGGTCTAATAAGTATGTTATCCTCAAAGTGAGTCCAATTTGTTTAGCTAACTTAATTATGGAAATCTAACTCTACGAATTAAAGTCTAAGGTCATTCGAATTATAAGTATTTAATGTCCTAATCTCTTCTTTGATAGGACAGTATACATATTAGAAGCGGAAAGTTAAGAATGCTAGCTAAAACTTCTCATCGTAATCTACTGGAACATCATAATTTTTTTGTTAAATAGAAAGCATACATTTTTTGAATTATTTGAACTCTCCAACCAACTTAAAAGCTGTTTAAATTCCCATCTTATTTAATATAAAAAACAAACATAAGATATAAATATTGAAAAATTAATTAACTAACTTTAACAAAAATAACAATTATATATTTGTAATAATTTTATATTATTATTATTATTTATTACTTTTTTTAAAGAAGGAAGATAGTCACATCCTGAGAATATACAAGCAGTTAAGAACATGTTGTGATTCCACAAACTCATGTTTATTTCTTTACAATTTTTAATATTGTCTAAAGATATTTCATCTCCTGTTTCTTTGTTATCACCTTTATAAAGCTAATTTATATATATATTTATTATTCCTTAAATATTATAATTATATAATATTTAGACAAATGCAAAATAGTAGTAAATAAGTAAATAAATTTCATACTTTAAATAATACTTTCTTGCATCCGAATGCTAAAAGATCTGAATCTTCACTAAACACAACATCAACATAATCAATCTAGCTGAGGTATGCCAGTTAAGCATCTGCTTCATATGGAGCAACTATACACTCTACATTCGGTCTGCCTTCTACTGCCTTTTTTATTTAGTAGAAATTAAATAAAAGAATATGCTTTTATAAATAAATACTTTAATAAGTTCAAATGCCATTTAAGGAGTGATATCAATAGAGCTAGCGAATTTTTTATAAGCTTAATCTTTTTTATCTTGAGCAAGTAGAAGCTAAGCCTCATTTCTGCTGTCTTCTCTTGATCTATATATTATAAAGTAATATTAATATGCTATACACACAATAAATTAAATATTTTTGATATATAAATATTAATATATCAACAATTAGAAATCACTGTAGTAAAAGGTCTTTTAATTAAAACACTTTTATCTCAATAACATAGTTAAATAAATGGTGTATTCAAAACTAAAAATAAATAAATTACTTTTCTCTCTTTTCTTCTGTTCCCTTTTTACCTGGTAATTGTCTTCCATCAAATACTAAAACAATTTTCTTAATCCCAAAACTCAATATTTAATCAATTCTTTTTGTGCAAAATTCAATATGTCTAATTACAGAAAAATAATTTTACTTTTCATTTTCATAAAAAAATAAAATAATTACTTGGTCGTCTCTATATTGTTAGCTAATTCATAAGAGCAAGTATAAATAGCAGGATGAAGCCTATTTTATTCAATTAACAAAGTTATTTTTGCCTAAAAAGAGCAACTTATTCAAGAGTGAAGAAAGTAATAATGAATGATACCATGTATAAGCATCAATAGCCACAGTTTTGTCTTTGTATTCTTTTAAATGTCTTTTTACTACTATACTTTTCAGCAGGTTTAATAATCCAGTAATACCCATATATATATTTTTTAATTTCTGTAGGTTGTAGATAGGTTAGTTAGGTGAATTTTTCAGATTTTTATAGCGAAAAAGTATGAAGAATTTAATTATTTTTGACTGTATTTGCGCGATTTATAAATTGAATAATTAGTAGAGATTATTAGTATTTTAATATTGAATGCTTTTATATATGCAAAGATATCTACTTTCTGGTCAATTTATTGAAAAATTTAATTATTTAGAAATTAATTCACTTTGTTTGATTTTTGACAAAAAATAATTAAGTAAAAAAATATTTAATTTGCAGAAAAAGCGGCTCTATTTAGGCACATATAAATCTGAATATAAATCACTTAAGAAAGCAATTTTTAAATTTGATAAAGAACAAAAGAGCGCAAAAATCATACGATTTCAAAAGATTTATTTAATTAATTTATAAGAAGCGATCAATTCTATGATAATTTATAAAAGACAAGCAAATATTCTTATAATCAACTAAAAGACAACTCTTAATTAAGTAAAATGCATTTTATAAATAAATAAATAAAATAATGCACTTTATTGTGATAAATATAATTTTTTTAATTATAATAAATATTATAAATCTTAGAAAGTAATTTTTTTAGATTATTCATTCATTATTAGTAGTAGTTTGTTCCTATAGTTTAACAGCTTAAAACATGCATCAATGAGTCTAAGTTTTTCACTCCACTTTAATCTAAGGCTTCTTATTCATAATCTCCTTTAAGCACTACTGATTCTTCTCCATCATTCAATATTTGGCTTTGCTGCTAAATATACCTTATTAGTAAAATGAGAGTTAGATATTTAAATAAAAAAGAAGTTTCTTCATTTTTTAAAAAAAAATTTGGTAAAGAATTAATTAATTACTCTTAATTTTAATTATCGATGTACTCCCTCAAATTAAAAATTTCTTATTAAAGGATTTGTTGGTTCTCTTCACTTTATTAATATTCCATTTTCAGCTAATCATTTTCATTTTCTAAATTCATTAATTTAAATTTTAATTAATTGTTTTCTTAGGAGAGCATTTAGTTTGTTTAGTAAAGTTCATCATTTTTATTGAAATTGATCTCTTATTGAATAACATTTTCATTTTTACTGTTGATTATAAAAAGAGTTATTAAAGAATATTCATTTTTTTAAACAATAAACTTACTTTGTATTTTATAAAATTTTATTAGACTCAAGTTTTTATTTTAATTCTTAGATTTCTTATTCTTACTGCTTTGTTTAATAATCATAGCATTTTTATGCTTAATTAAGCTCATTTTATTTAATTTCTAACTTCAAAGATAGCTATCTTATTTCACTTTCTCTATCTTTAATCTAAAATGTGAAGTTATCTAAAGATATTTTTAAAGTTTCGTTTTCTGTTTTGAGGGTATAGCACTTAGAATGGTCACTTTTTAACTCAGTAATTTACTACAAATACATATTGTTGATGCATATAAGATCCTCATTTTGCTTCTCTACATTTTATAGCAGCTATTCTAATTATTTAACTTTACTTTGGCCTTTTTTAAATAATTTTTTGAATTAAATTAAGTATTTGGTTATAATATAATACTTTAATCGCTATTTTAATTGTTCTAACTCTATTGTTAACCTAACTGTAGCAGCTGCTACTTGTAGTTTTCAATTTCTTAATTTAGAGTTTTAATTTCAGATATTTTAAGCTCTTGAGTAGTTTAAAGTTCTTGCTTTATTCTGACTAGTTCTTAACTCAATTCTTTAATTAAAAATAAAATAATTTATAAAAAATTTTTAAATCTTATTTACAATTTATTTTAGAATTTGCTAAGACTTCTTGTTCTTGTTATGTTAAATAGTAATTGTTATATTCAGATTTATATCTTTACTCAATGTCTTATTAAAAGTTTTACTAAGTGATCTCATATTCTTTAAACTTCTCATTCAAGTCTTGAATTTATTTTTAACTTTCAATCAAATCTTAGGTTTTCTACTTTAGCTCTATCTCGCATTATTCTAATCTATATATCTGATACTTTTATCTCTCAAGTAATATGAAAACCCTAATTTATTTTAATAAAAAAACTTATTATTCAACACAAAATTTTAAAAATTTTACTTCTCAGAAATATATTCTTCTAATTAAGTGTTCTATTAGTCAGTCTCATAATTATTCGCTTTTTTTATGTTTTCTTTTACCTTTTCAAGAATGGCTAATTTTTCTTTGTCTTTCTATTTTAGCATGGTTAATTCTTACTCGTAGAAATTGCATTTTTCTTCTAATAAGAAATATCTATTTTCTAAATCATTTTGAGATTCTACAATCTAATTCAATTCTTTAATTTAATATTCTTTTTATTCTTTTTCACTCTGAAGCTGCAAATTATTTGTTTATAACTCCTCTACTTTAGATTCTATTTTCTATAACTTAACTTCTGCCTCATCCTTTTGTGCTGCTTTTTCATCAGATTATATTTATAAATTCTTTATCAATCCTTAAAGTCTATCATTTTCTTCTTACAACTATAAAAACTTCTATTTATATAAATCTCTTTCACTTATTTAATTTGAGTGATATTCATTTCTCACATCTTCTTAGCTCAATAAGTTATTGCTGCCTTATGGATTATTTTGTATTTCGTTAGCTTTTTCATTATTGCTTTTAAGTGACTACTAAGATTTTGGATTTTCATTTTGAAATTCAGAAACTCTTTGTGTTTGCTCTCCCTCAATATTTGATTCAATATATGATTCTGGAGATTAACTTTACTTTTACTGGTGCTACTAAAACTGTAAAAACTTTAAATTATTACTTGGTTTTTACTCATTTAAATTTGAGCTTTGTAAATTTTAACTGGTATTTTACTTACATTCTTAAGCATTTAATTCTGAATTAAATAAAGTTTAAATTAAATTCTAATTGGCAGTTTATTATTCTAGCTGAATACTCGTAAATTAACTTGTTATGTTATTATTATTAATAGTATACTATGGGGCTTAAAACATGTTTAAGCTCTCATTAATTTGAAAGCTTTCAAATCTATTATTCTGAAAAATAAGCTAATTTTCATTCTAATTTAATTCAAATTACTAATTTGATTCTGTAAAAGGTTGTTGTTATCTTGCTTCTTTTATTAACTAGTCTAATTATATTTGACTGTTGAGAATTTCAAGATTTGGACCTTGTGTTTTGTTAGTTTAATATGTTTATAATTAAATATTTCCTTTCTTAACTAGATTAGTATTATCGTTTATATTATCAACAAATTCTTTATAAGAATAATTCTCTTAGTTTTCTATACCTCCACACTTAAAGGAAATAGAACTGATAGCTCTGGATTTAGGAACTTAAGAACAAACCATATTCTTCTAAGTTGGTTATAAATTATTTGTTATATTCTATAAATTTAGCTACTAAACTTATGGTTTCTATTACTGTGTAATTTTACCAAAAACAATTTATTTAGATGTTTTTGGAGTTGTAATTATCTCATTTTCATCTTTTTTAAAATTCAAAGCAAATTTCTTTTATTCTAGATCTTCTAAATTTGATTTTTGATTTTTCGCGATTGGGCTAATAGTTTCGAGAGGGGTTTAATTTTAAATTACTGTTTGATAGTTAAAGGGTGAAGCTTATTATTTTTGATACTATGCTTGCTATAGTAACTATTAATATTCTTAAGTTTAAAAATTTCCTAATTATTATGTAAATTAATTGTTTTAATTCAAAGTATTTGTATCTCTTTCATTTAAAAATTGATTTGGCTTGAAATAGCTCTAAACAGCACCTGCTCTTTGTAGGTATTATTAGGAATTTTGGTGCTGCATCTGTAATTACTATTATTAAGGAACTTATTCTCTCCCTACTGAATTATACTACTACTATCCGCCAAGCTACTTTATAAAACAAGCAACAGGTTACACTTGACTAATTGAATTATTTTATATATTATTATTAACAGAATTATTATTAATTTAATGTTGTACCTAGTTTATTACATAATTTTAATATGATTATTAAGATATATCTTACTACTATTGTAAATTTGATGAAGGAGTAAAATTGAGTCTTAAATGATTATTAGTGTTAGTACTACTATTATTAGCATTCGGCCTGTGAGATTAAATAACTCTTTAAGGAGAACATCTTGCGCTTTTAGAAGCTAATTGATTAGAAATTATCACATTTGAATTTTTAAGCATAGGCTATATTTTTTAATGGGGAAATACATTTGAATTTTATTATTTTGTTGTTTATTATTATCCACTTAAATTCTAGTTAATCCTTACATGTGCTTGTTGGTTTTTATCTAACTAACTATTACTTTAAGCTCTCTAATGCAATGTTATTCCATTAGGAATAGATTGAATTGGGAGCTGCTTGTTGTTAAATAGCGCAGCTTAAGATTATGAAATTTTCATATTCTAGTGAAATATTATAAATTTTAAATTAATTAATTATTAACTAATAATTAATAAATTCACTTCTACTTTTAATGATATGTATTCAAATTAAATTATTAATAATAAATAAGAAAGTCAGTAAGTCTATTGATCTATAGTATTGATTTGAAAAAAGAATTCAATTTATAGTTTGTCGCTCTATTCAATAAATTAATCAAAATTGATTTTTAACTGCCACAATATTATTCATTTTGAATGTTTTCACTTTAAAAAATTTAACATTTTTAAATTATCAAAAAGATAGATTTCAGGTTTTAAATTTTGATTATAAAGATATTTTAAAATGAATAACTCTTTCTTTTATTTATTTTTTATATAATTATTCATATAATTTTTTTTATAAGCTTGCTTCATAAAAAAAAAAATTAAAAAATTTAATAGAATCTTTTAATTTTGTATTTAAAAACTTATTTGAAAAATATTTTTGTATAAAATTAAAAAGTATGTTTAAAAAATTAAAACATAAATAATCGGGGTTGGGGGTTGGGGTTGGGGTTGGGGTTGGGGTTGGGGTTGGGGTTGGGGTTGGGGTTGGGGTTGGGGTTGGGGTTGGGGTTGGGGTTGGGGTTGGGGTTGGGGTTGGGGTTGGGGTTGGGGTTGGGGTTGGGGTTGGGGTTGGGGTTGGGGTTGGGGTTGGGGTTGGGGTTGGGGTTGGGGTTGGGGTTGGGGTTGGGGTTGGGGTTGGGGTTGGGGTTGGGGTTGGGGTTGGGGTTGGGGTTGGGGTTGGGGTTGGGGTTGGGGTTGGGGTTGGGGTTGGGGTTGGGGTTGGGGTTGGGGTTGGGGTTGGGGTTGGGGTTGGGGTTGGGGTTGGGGTTGGGGTTGGGGTTGGGGTTGGGGTTGGGGTTGGGGTTGGGGTTGGGGTTGGGGTTGGGGTTGGGGTTGGGGTTGGGGTTGGGGTTGGGGTTGGGGTTGGGGTTGGGGTTGGGGTTGGGGTTGGGGTTGGGGGTTGGGGTTGGGGTTGGGGTTGGGGTTGGGGTTGGGGTTGGGGTTGGGGTTGGGGTTGGGGTTGGGGTTGGGGTTGGGGTTGGAGTTGGGGTTGGGGTTGGGGTTGGGGTTGGGGTTG